CATTGAGAAAATGACATCACAAATGTTTCAGCCGACAGCGCCTAGTCGAAACTCGAACGCTCGGTACCTTGCGCGTGTTTGCTTGAACATTCTGGATATTTCTTTGCTAATTTAAATAAATAGGTGCTGCAAGATGCGATCGTGGTATAGTTGAACTCGGCGACACAAGCGAAGCTTCGGAGCGGAATTAAGTGAATTAGTGTGTTTAATTATTAGTGTTTTTAGTTTAATTTGTGTAAAGTAAATTAAAGTGTTAATTTAGGTAATTTTATCGGCAATTTTTATTGTCACGAACCTCAAGCTCGTAACAATTGGTGTCAGAAGTGGGATAAAATCATGCCGATTTTACCTAAGGACGAGATGGAGGGTGTCCGTACCCGAAGTCAACGCCAGCAGGAGACGGACCAGAGGAGATTTGGTGGTGCAACGCCGCAGACGTCGGAGGGCCAAATGCCAGCCACGGAGGCTGCGGGCCCGTCAGTAGCTCCTACATCTGCAGCACCTGACTTAGGTGCTCTGATGGCGATGCTACAGGAACAGGCTCGTCGACAGGAGGAACAGGCTCGCCGACAGGAGGAACAGGTCCGTCGGTTGGAAGAGCAGCTGCAGGGCGGCCAGGAAGAACAGATGCTTCTCATGAAGGACCTTCACGCTACCTTCGGGAAAGAGATAAGGGAGGTGAAGGATAAGGTTGCTCAACATGAAAACCGCCTGTCGGAAGCTGAAACCCGAATTGACCAAGTGAACAATCGGGTTGACAACGTAATGGCTGACATGAGGAAATCACTTGACGAACTCAAACTTGGGGAGGGGAACTACAGCTCCCGTAGTAGCTACTACACCTTCGCTACGTGGGTTCAAGGTGCCACCATTCGACGGGACTTCTTCCTGGTCAGCCTACAAAATCCAGTTCGAGGCTGTTATGAAGGCGAACGGCTGGAATAAAAGTCAGGCCATGACTGCTCTCACACTAGGCCTGCGCGACCGGAGGCCTTAACAGTTCTGGAAGCTCTCGGTGAGGAAGTGACTTATGAGCAACTCCTTGAGGCATTGGAGGCGAGATATGGCGACGCTCACCTGGAACACGTCTTTCGTGCGCAGCTTAAAGATCGTGTGCAGCGCATCAATGAAAACCTGCAGCAGTGGGCTCTAGAAGTGGAGAAGCCGATCTGTACCTGCGCTCATTGAAGGGAACCTGGTGCAGACATTCATCGACGGCATCCGCGACCTGGAAGTCAGAGCTGCTGTGAGGCTCGGGCACCACGAGACGCTTAAGAACGTCTTGGCCCATGCACTGGAGGTCGAAGCCGTGCGGCAGGATCGTCGTTCCCATCGCGTCAGGGAGGTTGCAGCAGCTACAGTCCGTGACCGCAGCAAAGGATACAGCCCTAGGTGCTATGGCTGTGGGGGAAAAGGGCCATCTTCGATCCAGCGGCCCTAAACTAACCGTGGAAAGGAGAGTTGATCGATCTCGAGAGGGTAGTACAGCTAACGGCACTGCCTGGCGGCGACAGGATCATCGTTCACCTCATGCTAGGGAGGTTACAGCAGTTACGGTTCGCGACCACAATAAAAGATACAGCCCTAGGTGCTATGGCTGTGGGGAAAGGGGCCATCTTCGGTCCAGCTGCCCTAAGCACACCCTAGGAAGGGAAGGTGAACGGTCTCAGAAAGGAAGTGCGGCTAACAGCACCGCCCAGCAGCAGCAGGAATACGACTTTACTATCAGACACTGCAGCGGCAAATCTCACGGCAACGCAGATGCATTGTCAAGAAGACCTTGTCCTGAAGATTGCAAACATTGTACTAGGCAAGAGAGTAAGGAAGTGGTATCCGTGAGGATGCTCAGGGCAGACCACCTCAGCAACGAGTGGAAGGACAGCTTACAACGTGCACAACAGGAAGATCCGGACATCGACCACTAAAAGCTATTGGGCCCAGTGGGACAGCTTGCTGCTTCAGGATGGAGTTCTGTGCCGTAAATGGGAAAATGTTCGGGGAGACAGCTGTCATTTACAAATGGTTGTCCCTAAAGCTAAAGTACCGGATGTTCTACAGCTGTACCATAATTCAGGAGGCCATCTGGGAGTTAAACGAACTGTACTGAAGATCCGAGAACGGTTTTACTGGGTCCACTGTCGAAACGATGTCGAGGACTGGTGTCGCAAATGTACAAGTTGTGCGGCTGTAAAGGGACCTCAGACTCGTAGTAGAGGTGCATTGAAGTTGTACAATGTTGGTGCACCATGGGAGAGAATAGCCATTGACGTGGCGGGGCCGTTTCCGGAGAGTGAAAGCGGTAACAAGTATTTCATGGTTGTGATGGATTACTTCACTAAGTGGCCAGAAGTCTTCGCCATTCCAAATCAAGAAGCTTCAACGGTTGCAGATAAACTAGTTCATGAAGTCTTCTGTCGTTTTGGAGTACCTTTAGAGATTCACAGCGATCAAGGAAGGAATTTTGAGTCTCAAATATTCCAGGAAACTTGCCGAGTTATGGGTACCCATAAAACAAGAACGACTTCTTATCACCCGCAATCTGATGGAATGGTGGAACGATTTAATCAGACATTGGAGAGGTACCTAGCAAAAGTTGTAGATAATCGGCAACGAGATTGGGACAAGCACATACAACCGTTTTTGTTGTCATATCGAAGTTCTGTTCACGAAAGTACAACAGTGACACCAGCTTTCGCAAACTTTGGAAGAGAATTACGGCTGCCTGCAGACCTGATCACCGGGATACCACCTGATGCTCCACGCAGTATAACCGATTATGCAAATGACTTGCGAAAAAAAATTAATGACGTTTATGAGCACGTCAGACAATCGGGCCAGCAAATGTCTGAAAAGATGAAAACCCGGTATGACCGCAAAATGAACAACAAAGGGTTCGACGAAGGTTCACTTGTGTGGTTACACAATCCAGTCCGCAGCAAAGGGAAATCTCCTAAGCTTCAAGATAAATGGGACGGCCCGTACCGGATTGTAACCAGGATCAACGATGTGACCTATCGGATACAGAAAGGCGCGAGAGGGACTCCTAAGATCGTCCATGTGGATCGCTTGGCGCGTTATTATGGGACCGATAATGCTCGGGACGAGCATGTCTTAGGAGGGGGCAGTGTTGCGTGAATAAGTCAACTAGCGCCATCTAGTGTCAGGAACGAGAGCGAGGGGGAGCATTGAGAAAATGACATCACAAATGTTTCAACCGACAGCGCCTAGTCGAAACTCGAACGCTCGGTACCTTGCGCGTGTTTGCTTGAACATTCTGGATATTTCTTTGCTAATTTAAATAAATAGGTGCTGCAAGATGCGATCGTGGTATAGTTGAACTCGGCGACACAAGCGAAGCTTCGGAGCGGAATTAAGTGAATTAGTGTGTTTAATTATTAGTGTTTTTAGTTTAATTTGTGTAAAGTAAATTAAAGTGTTAATTTAGGTAATTTTATCGGCAATTTTTATTGTCACGAACCTCAAGCTCGTAACAATAGCATCAAAATGCGATACAATTAAGTATATTAAAAGTATTTTATTATTTATAAGTAGTAATTTACAACAATGAAAAGATATAATGCATAATATAATGTGACCCATCAAGTGCAACCCAAGTCATGCTACTAGTCATTTAAACCATTATAACCTATTTTTTTAAACAATTTTCGTTTATTCTCCAGCGCAGTCATATATCAACTAAAGTTATTGTATACTATTTAGTTTATTATTTTCTTAAGATTCCATCAGACAGTATAGTGGTGGTGTAAGAGTATCCACTATCCTATATCGTCTCGTGACCGAGACCAGAAAGCCTTTTACGACATTTTTGTTATCCTCTAATAGAGGGTCACAAACCAAGAGAAGAATAACGTCTGCCTAATAACAAGGAAGGATTAGTAAGCTGAAGTGGCAATGGGCCGGCCATATAGCTCGAAGAACCGATAACCGATGGGGAAGAAAGGTTCTCGAGTGGCAGCCTCGTACCGGTAGGCGTAGTGTAGGGCGACCCCCCACTAGATGGAGTGACGACCTGGTAAGATATGCAGGAAGTCGATGGATGCAGGTGGCTCAGGACCGTGCTTTGTGGCATTACTTGGGGGAGGCCTATCCATATGATGAATAATTACTGCGTTGCCCACCAGGCGTAGTAACAACGTTCAGCAGTGGTCTTTATTAGATTGTAATGAATGCAAGTGTAATTGACTAAAAATCTTAAACAAATCAAAAACATTATAAACTACAGTGGACCCTCGGTGATCCGGCCCCTGGCTAATCCGACCCCCTTGTAATCCGACATGTATTTAACTTGTAGGTAGATTCTATCCATCGGCCACGGGGAGTGGCGTCCTTCGCGAATACGTGGACAAACAGGCTACTGACGCGTATTGTCAGTTCAAATGTGACTATAGTGCGGCCTAAAGTGCATCATATGATATTTTTATTTTCTATTTTTTTATATTTGATATTTAATACGTCGAATTATAAGAATTTTTATTTTCAAAAAGTTCCGGACTACCAGGGGGCTGAGGCAATACTCTATAGTCCGACAAATTCAATAATCTGACTTCGCCTTGCAAAACGTTGGTCGGATTACCGCGAGTCAACTGTATGTAGGAATTTTAAATGCGACACATTCTCATTTAGAATTTTAAAAAAATCCTCGATTTTGTCAAACCATTGATTATATAATGTATTGAATGATGATGATTGATGATGATGATAAATGACATTAAAATTTAGTACTTATTGACATATGGAATTATATAGTCGCGATATTGATGACACAATTTTTTTTTTCAATTAAACTGTCAACGTATCAGTAAAAATCGTCATGAGATCATATTTAAAGAGCATTTAAGAAAAAAACACGCAAATAATGTTGACAGCTTTTTTTACAGACTTATATTTATAAGTAGAAATATGCAATGCTAAAAATGTATTTATATATTTTTTTAAAGTAACTAACATAAAGTAGGTAGCTTCGCGCTATCAGAATCATATTAACTTATATATCGCCTGATAATATTTGCAGCGTCTTTTTGTCCCATGTCTTCAAGAAGTAGTGCTAAAGATTTTGAAGTAATGTCATCATCATACTCCTGAAAATAAACAAAGAAAAAATTAATAAAACATGGAAATATCATAATTTACGAGTTATGTTATGTATAAAATTAAATTTGCATTGTGGTGTCGTAAGAGGCGACTGAAAGATACGCTAGAAAAACTATCAAGCCAAATCCTGCAACAATAACAAAGTATAGTGAAATCACCCGTGAAACTTAAAACGATTGTATCAAATTCTCACAATGTGAACAATATGTAACAGGCAAAGATTTAAATACTATTTAAATCTTTGGTAGTAGGTAATTATTATCAGACCACTGACGATGACTAACATTTCACTGTATTCGCCACGAATTGTGTATCAACTTCAAGCTTGAGAAAAATGTGCAAGAATTAAACTAAAAATATATTTACTAAATAATACATTACACTCTTATTTTTATCCTAAGAACAAAGAAAATAAAAATCTTCACCATATTGTAGATATTCATTAGCCTATCTCTCGCTGTCTATATTAGAGCGACATTGAAAGTTTTTTAAAATTGACCCATGTATGGCACTTCAAAAGATTGTGTGAAGATTTCAAATTAAGGTGTGGACAATAAAGTGAGGTTGGGATTGTTCATAGTAGAGTACCAGGCGAGCAACGTTAAGTGTAGATGATATTGATGTGCGTCAGTAAAGTACGCCGGGCAAAAGGCCGAACAACAAATAAGATTATAACAAATAATATATGTTTATTATTTATTTATTAGTAGTAGTAATATATGCACTAAGTTTGCCATTTCAATATATTTTCCTTTATGGGTCTGCTGGAAGATAATTCAGCAAATTATGGAATAAGTAGAATCTTTGTACGAACTTACTATAAGACTGTTTCTGTATCTTGATGTGTGTATGTAGCAGGGGGGGTACACTTCCATACTTAAGGTTGGGGTTCAATAATTTGCAAAGACCCAAATTAGTGAACCCCAACTTGTACATCCCCATAAACTTTCGAACATTAAATTCTAAAAGGTGCGCTAGATGGCGACTACACCAATTCTGGTTATTCTGGAAATGGCAAGTAGCAACTTTATACTACATAATAGCTACCGGCGCTGAGCAAGTTGTTGTTTTATTATAGTTTATAAGTGATTTTCGGTTGTTGCTACAATAAGTTTGGTTGAGTTGGGAGTAGCCCTCTGTTTCTTTGTTGTCTGTTTAGATTTTCATGCTGGAACTACATTGTATGTTTGTGTAGTGTTATGCAAAATAGACGCTTTCATTTATCATTCCGGTAACCCGGTGAACATATTTAATTTGGTTTGGTGTTGTATTTTGCGGAATAGACGCTTTTACATCGTGTATGTTAAATATATATAACAAAAATAAATGTTTATATTACTGAAATCTATAATACGTCTTTAATTGAACCCTAACCCTTAAAATATAAATATAACCGCCTTTAGTATAGATAGCTGTATATACATAACTACATACAGCTATCTATAGTCAACATGATATTGAAATTAGTTCAAGGGATATGATACCAGGCGGCGACACTATTCATAAAGGTGACAAAAAATCCTAGGAGATGGCTCTCTATTTCTGTATGTATTACTCTACTCTATGTTATGTAGGAAGGTAGTTAAATAGAATTAATTTACAATCACAAAATACACAGATCACAGGTAATCAACTATAATTTGTACTGATACTAATTTAATAGCTGAGAATAATATATATAAATTATCCGAATAGTAGATACTCATCGTGCCACGCCACGCGCCAGCGCAAGACTGTTTAACGGCTTTTTTCGCCAATTAAAGGTACCAATAGGGGGAAAAATAACCACAAGAGATATAAGACACATAAAAACACCCCCTGGGGGAGGCCGGCCCCGGGCTTTAAGCCTCTTTTTGAAAGAAAAGGGGGGACCCCCAAGCCCCGGCCCCTCTTATAAAAAAACAAAAAAAAGACGACCCCCCCCAGGCACGTGCGCGGTGGGCGGGGCCCGGTAATTTCGACTAGCCACCGAGGCGCCGCTGCACGTGCAATGGCGCAGGTACCGACATGTACATAAATAAATAAAGGTTTGCGTTAAGATTACCTTGAGGTGCATCAACAAAATGCGTGTGGGACTGTTCGAGGAAGAGTACCAAGAGAGCAGCGAGTCGCAGTGAAGTCGCACGGACAGTTCGCGCCACGCACCCGTCGCATCTAGCACTCTAGACACTTCCTCTATGTACAAATCTAACTCCGGCAGACCGCTTCCAGAAGCGTCCTGACGAAATATGTTATTAAGTTTTAATCATAATCCTAAATCTTATTAAACTGCACATATACAGCCTCTTTTATAGAATAAGGGTGAAAAGCGAGCACCCAGCCATCCTTATCATAAGTGGATGCTGTTGCCCATAGACATTTACATCTATCCCCGATTAAATTCTCGATTAAAAATCAAAATGCAGATACGTTGTCACCCTTGAGGGCTAATATGGAATGCCCCGTATCCAATAAAAAAGGGTCTTCGGTTCTCTACGTTCACCATACTAAACAGAGCAGCATTGAGCTGCTATTTTACGCTGGTATTCTGTGAGAGCGTGGTCCTGCCCAGGTCGAGCCGACTCATTCGTGCTACAACTATAATTATATAGCTACAGCCTGGTCTGCCATGTATGTGCCTATATTGTAACCTTATGTTGAGTTGTTTAAATAACATTAATTCATAAATAACCATTTTTAAAATTTTAGTCCGTCTGTCTATCCGGGCTAATGTGCGCAATGTCTACACCGGTTGTGATAAAACTTTACGAACAGATACAGAGCAAGGCCAGGGAGTGATCTAGACTATATTTCATCCAAAAAATTTTGGAAGATTTTTTTGAATTTACTTGTAGATAATCAAAAACCATTTATTTTATCTATTATTTTATCTACAAGTGTTAAAATTAAAATGTTGTACAACCGACTTCAATATAAATAAAATGAGAACATTATGTAATTGAAGTCAATTAAATACTATTAAATTATATTAAGGATAACACAAAAACTACTGATCAGATCTTGATCAGATTTATATGAAACTACATGAAAAGCACCAGCTCTAAAACAAAAAAAAAAACATCAAAATCGGTTCACCTAGAAAAAAGTTTTGAAGTAACACACACAAGAGGACTCTCGGGGCCCACTATCTCTTTCACACATAAAAAAAATACAGTCGGATTGAGAACCTTCTGCTTTGTTTCAAGTCGGTTGAAAATCTAAATAACACACTACATTAATAGGCTATACCCAGGCGAAGCCAGAGCAGGTCTTAGTTTACAATAACGGTTGACTGTGTGCTCGAAAGACAGTCTCACCTCTATATAAAAAAAACCTACAGTGCAAACATCACAAAGAAAAAAATAATTCTAGTTAACTTACACCGTCATCCGCTGATTCGTATTCGTCTTCTGGTTCTGATTTAATTTCGTCTTCACATAGCCTGTATGGTGCTAGATGTTTTTTTATAATTTCGTAAAGTTCGGGTTTGTCCCGTGCCAGGCTCCAAGCTGGTTGACTGTGTTCTTCATGTCTTTTTGGGTTAGCCTAAAAAAATTAAACGTTAACTCTCCGATCAACAACGTAAACTTATTTTCTTTAGTATCTTATTTACTTTAGTACAGTTATATACAGGTTGATTTTTAAATACGTAGGCGGTCCCATAATGAATTGGCCTAACTATGAACCAATGAAGGAAATGAAACGAAACCAATTTTATTTTTCAATATAATTACCATGAATACTAACACACTTCTGACATCTGTGAATCAACATCTCTAAACCTTTATAAAAATAATCACATTTTTTATCCTCAAAATGACTGAAGACGGCCGCCTGCAACTCTTCATCGCTTGAAAATTTTCTTCCTCTTAAGTCCCGCTTTAAATTTGGAAATAAACAATAGTCGGACGGGGCCATATCTGGACTGTAAGGTGGATGTTGAACTTCTGTGAACCCGCATTGACGAACTGCATCCTCCGAAACACCAGCGGTATGAACAGGGGCGTTGTCATGGAGCAACAGGACGCCTTTAGACAGCTTGCCTCTTCGTTTTTCCTTTATCTTGTCTCGTAATTTATATATTAAAGAAGCATAATATTCGCCGTTCACGACTGTATTACGTTCTTTAAAATCCACCATCAAAATGCCTTGAAAATCCCAAAATATTGTGCACATCAGTTTTTTAGTCGATTATTGCACCTTTGCCTTTCTAGGGGGCTTTTCACCCTTATAACGCCATTCCATTGACTCGCCCTTGCTTTGTGGATCATAATACAAGATCATAGTTTCACCACCAGTCACTAGGCGCTCGATCACAGTCTTTGGATTTTCGCCACAAAGATCCAAAAACTCCGAAGTGCAGCGCACTCTTTCTTGTCTCTGTACCGCTGAAAGAAGTTTCGGTACCCATCTTGCACTCACTTTTTTCATGTGAAGATGTTCATGGATCGCGCGATGAACGGTACTCTTAGAGAGCCCAAGCCTTGCTGCAATTTCTCTAATCTTCAAACGGCGGTCACTCAGAACCTCCTCTTCGATAAGAGCAATCGTCTCGGGAGTGAGCACTTCCACAGGTCGACCGTCGTGACCAAAGTCTTCGACGGTTTATCTCCCGAGGCGAAACTCTTTCACCCAATTTTTCACTGTGCTATAGGAGGGGGCAGACTCCTTATACACGGCATCCAATCGTTCTTTTATTTGGGCAGGGGATAAACCTTCTTTAAACTGAAACTTTATGACACTTCGATACTCCGTTTTCGACATTTTGAAAAAATACGCGACTTTCGTTATTCAAACGCCTGTTAAACTAAGACTAAGCATTTCATGTCGATGCATGTTTCTTATATTAAGTGCACAATAAACGTACTATTTAATGCAACACAACATGTAGCGACATGTCGCGTTGAACTATATTAGGCCAGTTCATTATGGGACCGCCTGGTATATACTAGCTTTCCAGGCAGACGTTGTTCTGCCCGTTTCGACGACCCTTTGTCATGTCCTATTAAAATCCTTAAATACGCAAAAAAAATTGTGGGTCACTCATGGTCAAAAAAACTATCCTATCTCTCATGTTGGACCATACTGCACACGGTGTGCAAATTTGATTAAAATCGGTTAAGTAGTTTAGGAGTCCATCGCGGACAAACAACGTGACATCGCAAATTAAATGTGATTTATGGGCCACAACAACACGTGCGCGCGCTTCTCTGTGTGCGATTCAATTCACAACGTTTTTGCCGACGGAGCGACCCTTACGAATGTGTGTGCGTAGTAAAATAATAGGCGTTAGATATTTATGAATGATAATCAGTTAAAATGATGCATTACCACACATTCTGACTTTAAAAGATAAAAAGGACAGTTTGAGATTTTTTTAAGTAAGTTTCTTCATAATTTGCCTATATTACTTATTCTGGACTTTCCCTGTAAATTTAGTCGTATATTGCAAAATAACCTATACTCCGTAGCATACAAATACTTCATTTGCGCGGGATTCGAACCCGCAGATCACAGCACTGTAGACAAACGGTTACACACAGCGCCACTGAACCATCAAAGGGAAACAAACCAGGAGATAGACAGCAACCTCTACCTAATAAAAACTAAAAAATAAAAAACTGCGGTTGCCAATCCGCCAGCCAATCGTGGTAACTATGATAAAAATGAGTTAATTTATAGGAGGCCTATGTCTAGCAGTAGACTTTAATAAGGTCTGATAGATGGATGAACTTTTAAAAAAAATAAGGGTGATTGTAAGTGGACACTTGTGGTCACACATTGTGGTCCATAGACACTTATCCTCGCTTAACCCCTCAGCCACCGAATCCCGAGCGGGCGGTAAAAAATAGTCTTTAAATATAAGTTTTAAGGTTTAAAGTGCTGTGGGTGGGTTGGGTCTCATGCGAAAGCTCGGGGGCTGAGTGAATCAAAATGCAGATGCGTTGTCACCTCTGAGGACTAAGATGGAATGCTTTATTTCCAGTAAATAGGGTCTCCCGGTTCTCTACACTCACCATACGAAACACAGCAGCATAAAGCTGCTATTTTACGCTGATAATAGTATCAGCGATTGGAGTAGGAAGGACTACGCTCTCATATAGGTGAGAGCGTAGTCCTTCCTACTCCAATCGAGCCGACCCATTCGTGCTACAGCCATTAACTGCAGCGTGGCTCTACCACGTTAAGAAAGAATACTTTACTTATTAATTAACGTTTGTTAGAAAAACACTATACCGCATACAATGGGTGCGTTTGGCAGAAAAAAGCGCTAGCAAGCGCTTACAAGCGCTGAAATAGTTTTCGGCCAGGACACGATTGCTACTTCAGTAGCGCTGACACAATCCGCCATTTTGCTTATTTAATTTGTTTGTTTTGAAGTAGAGTTTATAAGTTTTTTTGTGCAATATTAGTTTTAAGTAATATAACATATACATGTTGTTAAAAATTCATGATTGGTAAGTTTTTAATATGAATACTTTACAAACATATATTTAAATTAGGTTAGGTTCCCCGGTTAAAACTAACTTCGTGTCCTAGAGGAAAATAGCTACTTACGATTTGACAGCGCTTACCGCTTACGATCGCCATTTTGCTTACAAGCGTTTGCTAGCGCTTTTTTCTGCCAAACGCACCCATTGTCTTAACTTTAAATGACTTTCTGTTCGCCAAGCGAGCGCGCGACATGTTATACTCCCGTTCGCTCGGGACCGTAATGGCGGGAAAATTTGAAAATTAGCAAATTTTTTGCTATATTGCAAATTTTGCTATATTTTCACTTTGAGACAATATTTATGGATAAAACTTACAGGAATTCTTGTTGAATGTATAAACTATCGAATAAAATTATTTTTGGTTGCTAGAAATTGTAATATAATACGTAAATTACCCTGTATAGCTGTATAGTGGTATATACTTCAATTTTAGTGACAAAATTACTACTAATTTGAATTCTACACTTTTGTTTTTAGAGAAATTTATATGAAAATGTTTGGAAATATGTATATTTTTATGTTTTATGTGTTTCCATTCGTTACTCATACCAAAATATTAAAATATATAAAAATTAAAAAAAAAATAATATTTTATCTGTGTGACATTTAGAACAATATTTCTAAAATAGTTTTGTGTGAATTTGAAATAAATACAACGTCAAGTTATTTGAAATATGTAAGAAAACTATTTTTACTTACATTTTACACTAAAAATAAATGAGAATTTGAGAAATAACACATTTATGACCCAGCCGCCATAATGGGCCTTCCATATTTTGAAGCACTTTTGGCAATTTACTTTTCACTTTTTATACCACAAATTATATATACATATGTGTTCACTATATTACAAGGAATATAAAAAAGTATAATACTTTCGTTTTTAGTCCAGACACAAATATAAAATTCTATAAAAAAAGACGGAGCACCTTCATCAAAACGACACGTGGAACGCCGAAAGTTCAGAGTGATTTCTTTTTTTTTTCTAAGAAACATTGCCAGGTTATGGTTTAAAATAAAAGAGCATATCTTTGTCTTTGATACTATTATCTATTGCATAGTGTCTTTGGTTTTGTTTAAAACGAAAAAATAGTTTTTTCATAGGTACACACGTTTACATAATTCTGATCAAATTAGATCACTGCTTGGCGGACGTAAGGTAGGTATTGTACGATCAAAAGTGCGCATGGCTTGGCTTACAGACAACACAACTAAAACCAAAATTATTACTAACATGAAGAAATTTGCTCAGCACTTACATTTTTCTCCAAAAGAATTTTAACAATTTCAATAGAGTTTTTCCTTAAAGCTCCACCGCACACTATCTGTAAAGCTGTGTTGCCTCTTCCATCTACAGCGTCGATATCATCCTACAAAACATATATTTTTTTAAGAGTTGAGCATTAAGTAATTATTATAGTTAGGAAGTAGAATCTTCATATATCAAATAATGATAAAAGTATGGAACATTTTTTTAAATAATGTATATATATATATTTACTATAGTACATCAAGATCTGTAAATTAACATATGTTTACAAAATAAACAAATTTGATTTGATATTTGGGATATAATATTAACACTTTATTGTTAAAAAATACTATTTAGGAATAAGTAATCTCAAACCAAGAAAGAAAGATATACAAAGCTCTGCGTGCATTTCAAGTGATACTAAAGTCATGCAAACTAGAGATGGGCCGAGTACTCGGTTAATACACGGTACACGGCGTACTCGGCGGGATTTTTAATATTTGTACTCGGCCGAATAACTCGGTTTTAATGCCGAGTTTACTCGGTTGAAGTAAAGCAATATATTTTGGTAGATCGATATAATTAAAACAACAGTGTTAATCTAAAAGTATTTATTATATGTTATGTATGTATGTACCTATGTTAGTTATTGTATTTTCATGACATATTATCATTATTTATTATTATTATATATTATTATTATTAATTTCGGAAATTTTTGACAATCTCAATAATTATAATGAATGAGTAGTAACGAGACAAAATTAGGAAAAGGTTAATGAAAAAAATCGATATTTAAAATTTAATAAAGGTAAATTATGATGCAGGAACACAAGGCTCTGCACGTTCTGGAAACAGCCTATTCCTTTTTTCGTTACCAGCCTCCGAAAACAATCGCTCGCTATACACGGCGCAGGCAGGTGCACATAGAAACACTCGCGCTAAATGTGCCAGCTCTGGATACCTTGTTTGGTGCCCTTCTCACCACTTGAAAGGACTCTTGTCTTTTGCCAACAAATTTTCTTTTAAATAGCTATCTAATTCTAAAGCAATGGGCTTTTAGGATCATCGCGCTCTATTGTTTGTACTTGTTTACGCGCCCGAAACAGGAATTTGATTGAACTCGGTCGAGTACTCAGTTGGAAAAAAATTGAACCGAGTAAACCTCGGTACTTGTTACTCGGCAAAAGTGCTACTCGGCGCATCTCTAATGCAAACACATCTCCTTTCTTTTTATAATAGACCGGAAAACTATAATATAGGTGCTATAATGTTGCACAGATAAAATAAGCAGCATAAAGATCTCGGCCCTCTTATGGAGAGTAGAGGTAAGGAGGACTATCTCTAATGGGGGCAAGATGAAAGTGTGCAGCTGTAAGCTGTAAATAACAGTTTAGAAACCTTCCAGAACGGCGCTAGCGCAAATACAGGATGATATAGCATGAATGTAGCAGCCGTAGAAGAATTGAAGTGTGTCAAGTTAAAAATATTATATTTTTGGTGACTAGAGTAGTTATTTACAGTACAGTATACAAAACTTCAAATATTCACGTAGTCCAAGAATATATTTTTAAATATAAAATAAAATAACTGCTTTGAGAAAACGTAGAGAGTGACTTCATTTATGTGAACTTCAAAAACGCATAATAAACTTTTAAAATAGTCAAAAATATTTTTTGATATAAAAATATTTTTAAAATTTACCCTGCTACTATTGTCGCCACCCTAATTTAACACATTTCGAAGGACACTTTGTCATACACAAAGATAGTCCTTCTTGCCACACCTCTACTGTCTACCAGTCTACCAGTTGTAAGCTAATTTTTTTCAGAAATCAGAGAGAAGCTTAGGGTGTTGTTGTTGTTAAAATTATTTTATTAAAATACATATGCGATTGCTATTAGAATATTATTATATAAGAGAATTAGCAATAATAGCTGTTATTTTGGGTAATGGTGAGCATAATATTGTTGCGCGCCACAGTTGATGGCACTAGCGCCATCTATTATCAAACAGAGGAACTAAGCTTTCTAGAAAGCCTCACTCGAACTTTCTGCGCCTGGTCGGTCGGGGCTCGTATTAGCTAGAATATTCTGGATGTTTCGGTGGAAGAGCCCTATTTAAAGCTGTTGAAAGCCGCGATCGGGGTAGTATTGAATTTGGCGATACAAGCGAAGCTTCGGAGCGAAATAAAGCGAATCAGTGTGATTAATTATTAGTGTCTTTTAAGTTTTAATTGGTGTTCGGCAATAAAAGTGTAAATTTTGGTAATTCAATCAGCAGTTTTTATTGTCACGAACCCTAAGCTCGTAACAATATGCATTTACAGGGCGTGGAGACGCTTGCGTAGAGCCGATTATATTGAGTATTTTCTTATCAATATAAACAATTATTATTTAAAACCTCAAGGATGGTTTGAAGCGTTTGAAGAAAATTCCATCCTAAAGGACGGCAATGAGGGGATAAAATTTTTCAATGTATCTATTTACGCGCTTTTCTAGTCTAGTTGTTACCTTGTGCTTAGTTAATATTCCTTAATCCATCCAAAACGGATCAAATTTTTTTTTTATAAAAAGTAAAAACCGAATATAAAAAACAAAAAGGATAAATCATTTTTACATAAAATCTTCTAAAGTCTAGGTTTCAATTCTTTGATGAAGTAAGTCTTGGCACCATACACTTAAACATTTTCAGTCGGTATACTAAAATTGCTAAAAGTTATACAAGTATTTAATAATGACTATGATGATAGAGCACATCTTGATTCATAATCTATAGTAAAAAAGCAGTTAGTTCGTAGCTTTTTTAGAATATTTATATTATGTGTCTTACATAGGCATGTGTCATGTGTGTATGGGCTATAACTTGAGTGGAAGTTGAGACAGCGTATTGTACACGCGTGTACTAACATTTGAATATGCACGTGTATGCGTATGTGCGTACGCAAACGTACGTGTGTGTGTGTGTGTGTGTGTGTGTGTGTGTGTGTGTGTGTGTGTGTGTGTGTGTGTGTGTGTTATGTAAGTATGTAATGTATACTCACGGGCTGAGCGTTGTCAACCAACGCGCGCACTACTGGCAAGCAGTCATCGTAAGCCGCAAGGTGTAGTGCATTGCGTCCCTCGCTGTCACGAGCGCTAAGCGCCGCCCCGTGCGACAACAATATTCGACAGCTCTCCTCGGACCCATATACAGCGGCTAAGTGTAATGCCGTCTGTCTTTCTGTAATAATTTAATAATTAATGTGGAACTACATCGTACTTTAAAATTTCCAAGTCGACTTTTAATTTTCATCAAATCTAGTTGAATATTCATCATTATCATAACTATAACCCTCCACAAGTGCCTGAACAAGTCCATTTCGCGACATAGGCCTCTCCCAAGGAACGCCACAAAACACGTTCCCGAGGCGCCTGCAACTATCGTTTTCCTCCATGCCTCACCAGGTATACTCCATCTAGTGTGGGCCGCCCTACACTTCGGTTAAGAATCTAAAAACCTCACATTTAAAAAGGATGAATATTAGATTGAAAAATAGCAAAATTAGTAGCCTAATATTTGAGAAGAAATTCTGTTTAAACTTAGAACTACTTTTATTTGAAGACGATTTAAAAGTTATTTGTTTACTTGTAATCTGGTTCCCTTCCATTGACCGTTACACCGCTAGGTACCTACGTCCGCCTGGCCGACCGACAGTATTGACCGTGACCTCATAAAATACAAGTGCTATTTTTAAATTTTTGTAGATAATAATCACTTGTGGTGATATCACTTGCCACGTAAATTCGAACCGCGAATACTATAAAATGCCGTACCATTTTATAGTATTCGCGGTTCGAATTTACGTGTTACATTTAAAGCAATGAAAGTTTACGTGGTATACTAAGTACAATACGAAACTGAGACTTTACGGTGTTTGAAAAGACAAGAAATTAACGCACGTGTAGACTAATCGAAAAACAATTTTGGCAGCGAACAGAACTATTCAGGTTAACGACTAAAACGTGTTCAACTATGCATAGACAGAAACGGAATATATTTTAAACTACCAATAAACTATTAATAAAGTTACCTTAATATATATCAAAAGAATCGTTTTTGTGAATAGATGATTAACTTTTTTAAATACGCCGTAATAATGACAGTCATCAGTTACATCCCTGATTCGCAAAATATTTTATTTTATTTACTATGACAGTCCCAAGCCCGTTAAAAGTATGCCAATAAATTAAAATCGTAATTCGCGTCGTATATTTATATTGCGGTCACATTAACTTGACGCATGGCTGGAATGCGAGGCCCCGCCCGCCAGCCCCCGCACTGCCCTAGCTCGCCCGGCAATCGTCAGTATGGTTAGCATCTATGTTACACTGTTGTAAATGACGTCATAAAGCCGTGCGTCAAGTTAATGTGACCGCGTTGTATGTATTTAAGCATTAGTAGTGGCCGTGTCATTAAACCGTGCAAGTAAATGGTAGGCATATATTAAGTATATTATAAAAATAATTGTTACTGGTCTGGATGTTTGTCGATATGCAATTTATTCGTAAAACCACCTTCACGACACGTAAACAATTGAAGCCTGCATTCAGGAACTTACCATTATTGTACGCGTTAATATCACAATTGACATTGTTCGTCTTGATAGCTTCCAGTAATGGCGCTAAACATGTCTGACAAATAACGGCGTAATGAATGACGTTATTGCCCTCGCTGTCCACAATCATTGGATTGCAACCTGAAGTAAAAAAACATAAAAAATATATTTGGTTTGACTTAGATTTCAAAACAAAAGCGGCGTATATATAAAAGTAGAATCAATAGGTATATTAAAAAGCATTTTAACGTACCGGTTGAACGTATCGGTGTTGTAAAGGATTTTTTAATAGGCCTACACCAACAGCCACCTACAGCAACATTTTTAAGACTTGTTTTTACAAAATGAATTACCTTTAGAAACTAGGAATGTGACCAGTCTGGGCAGGTCGTTTATGATGGCCAGATGTAATATCGACTGTGCTTGGTTATTGGTTTTATTCAACAGATCTGTCATTCGCATGGTATGTATAAGTTTTACAATGTATTCCAAACTGGGCTGGTTGCTGCAGAGCATCATGTGTAAGAATCTGTTGAATAAGAATTACGATGTCTTAATCAAATGTGACGGCTGAACCGAGGTTAAAGATTTATAAAACAGTGATACATCAGTGGTGGTCCCATATTATTTGAATAATAAATTTTACCACTGAGGATCGCTAAACAGGGCGTACTTAGGCGGAATTAAGATTTTAATATTCTTTAGTCCACTCAAAAGGGTAAAAAATTTACCTCAATAAAAATTAAAAGCAAAGTTCATCTACGATTATATGAAAGCGGATAGCATCCCTGATGACGCAAATACGGGGTAGCACTAACAAAGGCGTATTAAGCGTAGACAGGTTACAAACTAACATTATTGTATTTTAAAGTGGTGCAGGTAGTACTATATAGGACAGCTATTTATTATGACACGTTGCGCCAACAAAAAGATACACACAATAGGGTATACTTATCGTTAGAAAAAGATGAATATACATTATTAGTTACGTATTGATTGCTGCTGAGCGATCATTGGCACGAACTCATGACTTACCGATACGGAGGAGAATTGGGAAAGTGAACACACTAGCTAGCTAGCGTCAAAGTTTCCACTAACGGTTAGTGTTGAAATAATAAAACCAATTATGAACAAAACATATAAATTCAATGAAAACGAATGAAATGAGACGTCTTTCTTGTCTCTAACAATTGCCTTGTACTTTGTGCACCACCTAAAAACACAGGAAGACATGTTTGCCACGAATAACTAGAACAATCCCGCACTGTAGCAAAGTGTAGCCGCGACGCGAGAGCGTGCCATTACCTGACTTTTGTATTGCCATTCTAGAGCGAGTACGAAGTATCTATACTTTTAAAAACATTTTAGAGTACTAATAGTCTCCCGGAAACTTGTAAATTGTTTAGGCAGTTCTTATGTAAAACACTGAATTGAGACAGTTCTGCCAGTGACAAATCATTACTAACCGTAGCTTCTAAAATTTTATATTTGTTTACTAACACATATGGAATGAATTCTGAAATAAAAATGTATTGATTATTATATAACCTAAAAGAATTCTTCTATAATTCTTCCATACCCTACGTGTTAGCGCCAACTTTAGAAGTTATCTGAGTCGTTGTTGAATTGTTGTAGAGTCGTACCCTTTTGAGTTGTCCATGGAATACGTCGATCTTAAAAAACCGTCTGATTTTTTGAAACCGGTAAATACAATTTAACTTACGTATCGCCGTTTGAAAGTCGCATTTCGAAGAGCCGATGGAGTTTGTCCCGAACAACTTGTTTCTTATGAGTAGTCTTGTTTTTTATCATATCACATAGCTCTTTCACAAGCTGCAATTTAAAATAACAAGCGGCTTATAAATGAAAGCACATAAACAACCTGTAGTGATCTTTCTGATATATATGCGGCATACGTCCCGATACCATCCACACCATCTGGATGCTTGGCGGTCCACCACAATACGTTTCAAAAGGAGTTTTCTTCCGCGTACAACTTCTCTGTGGAATAGTTTACCACCGGCGATTTTTCCGGACCGATACGACCTGGGGACCTTCAAGAAAAGAGCTTACTCCTTTCCAAAGGGCCGGCAACGCACCTGCAATTCCCCTGGTGTTGCGGTTGATCATGGGTGGCGGTAGTCACTTAACATCAGGTGAGCCGCATGCTCGTTTGCCCCCTCTTCCATAAAAAAAATATTATTAACTAATAAAATTATGTATCTCGGCTCGTCTGTTCGAGGTTATTAGCTTTAAATGTATGATATTCCCGCGATTTTGACGAATCTAAGGACGCCAGTGTCAGTTAGTGTTGCAGTTGTTCATGGTCGGCGGTCGATAATTACCACCAGGTGAGCCGAATGCCCGTTTACATATTACATATATATATATATATATATATATATATATATATATATATATATATATATATTAATTTCTATTAAAAAAAACTTAGTTCAAAATCCGTCGAGATATTCAGTTTCCATGAGGTCACAAAACAATAAATTTGAAGGAAAATATGCAATTACGTAGCTGTGAAATATTAAGAAATATAAATAAAAACTTTTTGCTGCTTTTTGAGCTGACAAAAGCCAGCAAATAAACCAGCAGGGCCTTTTTCAAAAAAAGAACGGATTACAATCATATTATATTATGTTATGCGATCACCTCGTTCCCAGGATTTATTATCCTTTATAAATTTACAAACGGAAAGAAATTATAAGTTTCTTGTATGAAATAAAAAATGAGGTAAGAACTACCAGAGAAATCCTTCGCAGGAATCCTTTTTTTTGTCTTATATTGTGATATTAGTCGTTTATTCAACGACTATGGTGTACATTTATTTCCATGTAACATATTATGCGATATCCATAGCGGTTGGTGGAGTTTATTTGACCATCAAGATCTTCGATAACATCACTTAACATTTATATGATTTCGAAATTAAGCAAAAAATACCTTTTTAACTTCCGCACCATCTTCCATTTTATAAAACGCTGAGTATTCGCTCTTCTTGTTGATTACGTTTGATTTTACATGATAGACTTCATTTGACAAGCGACTAATCTTTGCAAATTTTGAGTTGTCTTCAACTTTCTTTTCTTGTTTCTGCACAATACAGGAACAAAGTAAATGAAATGATTTTGTTGTCTGTACGTTAGTTTAATTCGGCTTTTGGCTCAGTACTATATTATTTATTATAAATATTTAGGTTTGATAAGAGTACAAAAAACTGCGATAATTTGAAGATAAATTTAATTTTATTTTGAATACATATCACACGTGTGTATAACGATTTATGTATACGCGAACATTACACATTTAAATAACAATTAGTTTTTGCGGATTTTATAGTATATATTATATTAACTTATTTTATATTCTTTAATAATTATTATTATTTTATATTTAAAAAAAATAATCTAGAGGTAGCCATGGTTAACTATGACATTGGGACGTCGAACGCATCAGACCCCCCCTTAACCATGGGTGCTGTAAAGTGCTGGAAACATCGGGAATATAAAATAAGTTAATATACGCGATAAAATCCGTAAAAACAGTTTTATTTAAATGGTGTACATAATACTACGAACATAAGTCTAGCATTACCAATTTAGTGATTAAACGCAGTCATCATACCTACGGAAATATTCCGTAACAAATATGTTAATGTTGATATTCTTATTGGAGGAAAGTATCATGCCCACTTTCCATACATTGATTGACCTGTCACTTTATTCCTTTAACAGGTCACGTCTACCTACAACTAGTGTTGTATAAAAGCAGTTATTGTTTATAATAACTTATCATCTTTTCATTTACAGGCCAGGGGAAAATGCTATTAAGTAAATAAAAGTTTGAGGTTATAACAGCTGACAGATAAGGTATGTATCTTTCCACACCATAGCACAAAACCATTAAAAGCCGTATCTTATCATAATTTAATAAGTTATAAAAAAGAAATTGGTTATTTTGAACATTCATAAACCATATGACATATGAACAAGTTTTTCGTAGTCTGAAACGGAATGTGGAAAACAAGTTTTTAATATATTTTGGCATGGCTTCCGGACCTTTGAGCCATAGTAAAACACGTTTCGTTTCCAAAAGTCTATTGAGAATGATAAACAAAGTACATTACTTTTTTTCCTGACTTAATTTGAACATTCATTTATTTGATACGAAATAAGAAAAAAAATTGCAATTTTATAAGATATTTTACATCACTAGACGCGTTAGAAAATTTTCAGGTTAATAATGGACATGATTCTTTGCATTCTTCTTGTCTTAATAAAAAAAAGTTAAAAGGTAAATATGTATAAGCAGTCCAGCCAAAAAGTATAATATAAGCAAATCATCGTTTAAATTTCAAAAAATGGATGAATATTACTTACAGATATCCGCGCAGAATCAGGCACCAATCTAATGAACTCCATACATCCCCCCATCTACATAAATTAAAAAATCAATGAAAAGGAGTAAAGACATTACAAAGTAATATAATAATAACGTCATTTGTAAAAATATAATTGATAAGTCTACGTAGGCAAAAAACCTCTAAGTCTAATAATAAATATTTTTTTTGGTTCTCTGGTTCGGTTTCTGGACTCGCTGTAAATTCCACAGTACGCGAGCAAACCGGGTTCGATCCCCACCGGCACTAATGAAATTGTTAATTACTGATTTACTACGTGTTCGACGATGAAGGAAAACATCGTGAGGAACATAAAAAATAATATTTCGAAGACATGCGAAGATCGCCAACAAGCATTGGGGCAGCGCGGTGGACACTTCTTTGCCACAAAACCCTCTCAGAAACAAGGGAGGCCCGTGCCCAGTATTGGGACGTATATAGGCTGTAGCTTTAGCTTTTTCTACTTTTGCTAAGACAATGTTTGTTCAAAGAATGATTTAGTAAAAATTCATACAATGTATTACCTTTTTTAAACAAATTAAATTACTATAAATATTGTATTTGCACTGTTTACGAGGGGTGATCCAAAAGTAATGATAATCGGTTACTTCAGGTCAGCATAAAAATCTAAAAAAAATATTTTTTGCTTGCTTATATACTCATTACGTCAACCAAAAAAAAAAACATATAAATAGATCACGATTTCCGGGAGATACCTTTGCGCCCTCCTTTCTGCCAAGGAGGGTCGCGTTCGTATACGGCTTAGAGATATCTAGTCAGATCGTTAAGCCATTTCCTAAAAGGTGGTGTTTAGTGGGTAAAAGTCTCCACATAACCACGCAGCCGGCTGCGTGGTATGCAATGAGCATTCACCGCCTCCCTCCCCCGTTTTCCGGAGGGTTTCCCATATTTGCTTCGGGCGCAAAAAAAAAGGGAGATACATTCATTTGAATACGAACTGTCAAAGAGATAACATCAAATGGAGAAAAACGAAATTAGAGCTGTCATCAAGTACCTCTGTTTGAAAAAAATGTCTTCAAAAGACATACACAGTGACTTAGTGGAAACATTGGGGGACTCTGCTCCTCCATATTCTACAGTTGCAGGCTGGGCCAGGCCAAGGAGTTTAAACTGGGCAGAACATCCACTGAAGATGAACATCGCTAAGGACGCCCATCCATGTCCCTCACTGAAGAAAACGTGAAAAAAGTCGAAGATTTTGTGTTGGCAGATCGAATAGTGACATCAGGCATGTAGCTGAGGTCACAGGGATCTCATATGGCAGCGTTCAAAGAATCCTTGCGAACGAGTTGCATATGAAAAAGATCTCTGCGCGTTAGGTACCTACTCGTACTAGTAAGGTAATTTAATTTGTTAACAACTAATTAAAACCATTTTACGCATTAAGTGAGAAATTTGTGTGTGAAATAATTTCCATACAGCTGTTAAGACATAGAGTGTGAGAGAACTAAGGCACCGACTTCAGGGGGCTATTTATGTGGGAATTAATATATTTGTTTTAGTTATTGATATCTGGTTTTTATTTTTATTAAAAGTAATTTACTATATTTATGTAAATTAAAATTTTACTCTTTTGGGCGTACTAAAAATATCCATTGATATAAATGGCAAGATATGGCCGTGCGAACAAAAATTGTTCATGGTTTAAGCGTAGAATAAATCAGCGCCATCTCTTAAATACTAATGAACTACCACGGTACTAGTGTTTTCACTTATGATTTTCGCTTTACCATAGAACCTGTAGAACTCCCTGAATTATCATAAAAAAATCGAAATAGCCTTATTTATTGCACCTAATTTTCAATATTTTAAAGAACAACATCATTGCAAGATTTGAATATAATTTCACGATTAAAAATCTTGAGTTTTGTGATGAAGAAGACGCTTTCATTTTCAAATTATAACAACACTTAGTCTCATATGAATAACGAATATGTAACTAAGTAAAATATGCCATTATGCTATTCTATTTATTATATTATTTATTAAAGAAAAACTTTTTCATTCTACACTTTCTAGCTCTTTTGGCCTTATCCCCTTCGAATTTTTTTTAAAAAATACATTGGATATGAATAAAAATCAGGGTTACATGAAGTTCGGTTTTACCCCAAATTATCCAAAACCCTGTCAACTTGAAGAAACGCCTAAAGCCCTACCTATATTAGTAGATTTACCCTAAAATAGTGCAAAATATCTAAAAGTGGAAACACTGCACGGACGCACGGCACGCATTGGTGGTCGCGTTGGTGCTCCATAAGCATTTTAACAATAATGAGTCGGTGCCATTTTGTTTGTTCAATGACCCGGTCCATACGTAGTATAATAAGTCTATGGGAATATCACAATTTCTCAAATTGACGGTGTAGTGGCGGTGTTATAATATTCACTACGCCATATGGTCCCGTGGGTGTCGTAAAAGACGACAGATGAAAACAAACAAGGAGTGAAGGGCAGTAGTGTCTCCTAATAACAATACCAAATAAAAAACAACATTTAAATTAGATCACCCGTTTCGAAGAAAGCCATGTATACATAAATTTATATGTGTCGATTGAAGAAGCTTTACTTGAACTTGGTTAAAAAACTGAAGACGGCTAACACATCGATATGGGGTAACAAACAATGTGGGTTTTACTTATGCACACAGTTAAAAAATTTAATTAGTTATAAACAATTAAAAACCGTTTTTACTCATTAATACGAACTGTGAGAACTAAAGAAAGCTGAATAATTTAGATGGCGGTAAATAATTAGTTGCTGCCATCTAATTGCTTATTGTTAACAACAATCACATTTTATAACAATTAGGATTACTATTTGTCTCATAGTAAAAGGTATGTCGGCTGGCAGGTAATCTCCATGAATTAGTACATATTTAAGAAGAGTTGGATTGGGCAATTAATTCAACTATCGAAAAAATTGTCACGATCACTCCTAGCACCGCTTTCTGTGTTCGATCATCACATTCGGTTCAGCCATTTCGAAAATTAGCCCAGGCAGAACGAACGGGCAGACAGACAGTGAAATATTTTAAAATCGCTCATTTACTTCTTAATAGCATGCTTATAAATAAGATGAGCTCAATAGTAGGCAGTTGTTTCGATACATTCACATATTCACACACTTCGATTTTATATATAACTAGCTGTTCCCCGCGACTTCGTTCGTGTGTAATTTATAACGATTGGATTTTATGTTTCTTTTTTCTTGCACGGAACTTTCATTCTTTTTCTAAGATAAAAGTAGCACACAGCCCATCTGATGGTAAGTGTTACAACTTCGTGTGATAGAGGCGACGCTCTACAAATCCCAAGCTTGCCGATTACTATAGCTGAGTTTTATCGTTTCTTTTTAAAACTCGATGCATAAAATTTTCGGTACGATGCTGTATAATAAAAATTGTTACACGTTACTCTTTATAAAATCAGCTACTTACCAGTAAAAGTTCCGTCAAAATCGATCCAGCCGTTTCGGAGATTCACCGGAACAAACAGACAGACAAACGCGAATTTAAAAATAGTTTTTTTGTAATAAAAGTTGCTATTTGACATTACAAACAGACACTTAAATTTTATTTATATGTATAGATATAGATTATACGTTCATGCGTGTTTGAAGGACAAAAATATACTTTCACATCTATTATATTAGTAGGTAAGATTATGTTGGTTAAAAACATTGATGGGGACGGAGGACGGAAATTTATAAATTTTTGAAAAAAAAATTTTGAAATTTTTTTGAAAATTTATGAATTTTATAAAGCGAAAAATGTTACGTAATGTTATTTTCTATTATACAGGATTATTTTGCAATTATTCGCCATAATTTGCAGATAAGGTTTAAAATAAGTAATATAGGAGAATGGTTAAGAAAAAAGATTAAAAAATCTCATATATTCTGTTCTTTTTATCTTTTTATCTCAGAATGTGTGGTAATGCATTATTTTAAGCGTCGCTCCGTCGGCAAAAACGTTGTGAATTGAATCGCACACAGAGGAGCGCGCGTACGCATAGTTGTTGCCCATAAATCACATTCAATTTGGCATAATTTCAAATAAAAGTAGAAGCGTTATTAACTCGTATTTTATTTGGATAGTTTTTGAAAAATAACCCTGTATAATCGGAACAGATTGTAATGACTGCGCGTGGTCTAATCGATCTCAATTCAATAGACGACTAGGCCACTCCATATTCTTTCAAACCCTCAAAAATCTAAATTTTAAAAGCCTTAACTAATTTTCTATCTTCACTGCAAAAGGCCTGTTTTACGTTAGAAAATAATAAATTGATAGAACAGTTATAAATGCGAGCGTGGAGTACTAGGTCACTGATATGTTAATTACTTAAAATAAAATTTCAAATAATGAAACAAAGTAATTTATTTTTGTATTTATATAACGATGGAAATGATAGAAAAACATGCTGCATAAAACGTATATAAAAAAAGGATGTATTGAACTGAAAATGAATACAAGAAAAGTGCATCATGAATAATAAAGTGCGTTTGATAATGTATATGACAAGAATCTTTAATGGAACTAGACATTCAAAATGACAATGATTTTTTTTGTAAATTGCACCCAACATCAGGACTTACAAATCATATTTAATACAGTCTACTGTTTAGTACTTATACTAACGAAATTATGAAGCCTATACAGTAGTCATTATGATTACACATCGAGCCTTAGAATGAGACGACCATAATCGACTAGCTTAAGTTTCGTAGTTTTATCACTGTCCAAACGTAACTTCTATAGAAATAAAATAGATATTACAGTTAATAACGTCATTTTTGTAGTATTTCCATCCATTCTTATAGTGAAAAACATATATCTGCGCAAATCGACCATGTTTTGAGACACTATTAAAAGCAGCAAAATCCAATGATATGATGTAGTAGATTAGTCGACTTTAATAAAAGGTGAGGTTTATAATGCAACTGTACATTTTTGTATGTATCTTACGCGAAGGGTATATTGCAGGAGTGGTCCTATATACATTTAGAGAAAAACTGCAAAATAGGGAATTAAAATCACTTAATGATTTCTTAAATTTACGCGAACACTACACATTGAATAAAACTATTATTTACGGATTTTATCGCGTTTAATTAAACGCGATAAAATCCGTAAATAATAGTTTTATTAAAATCACTTCTTGAAAACGTCGAATGATATGAGATTGATAATATGCAGTGTCCAATAGAGATATCCTCTAGGTTGTCCAAAACCTTCTAAAGGTCGCTATTAAAAAAGTACGCGTCTGTCCACAACCTTTAGAAGGTTGCAATTTACTTATAAACTTCAGACACGAAACAGCCGTAGTAATGTATCTGTATCTCCCTCTAACTCAGGGATGGCGAACCAATGGCACGCGTGCCATTGCTGGCACGCGACGAAATAATTTCGGCACGTCACTGATTACGAGTTTAAAGAAAAAAGTATAAATTATGATTATGATGTAGCATAATACCTATGAATCTTTGAAAAGCAAACGCGCGCGAGCGTTCGGGTCCGGTGCGCGGGGTGGAGGCGGGGCGTAGTTGCTATGCTAGCGCGGGGAATGCGGCGGTGGCGCGGGGCGCGGGAACGCAGCGCGGGGGCTTGACTTGAGTAAATAATAACAAACGAGGCGCAGTGCCCGCGCAAATTGTTTGTTTACGCAAAAAATAGTTAAATTTCATTGTGAAAGTGAACTTTAAAGTTTATTTAAGTTATTATTTGCTGTAATTTAATATGGCTAGTTCAGCAAAGAAACTAAAAGTGCAAAATAGCAAGGATACTAGAGAATTTCAGACTTGGTGGACTGATAAATTCAGCGTGATTAATAAAGGTGACAAAGCAGTGTGTGTTTTATGTTCTGGCACCATGGTATGTAGAACATCTTCCGTTAAACGGTATTTTGAAACAAATCACAAATCAATTTGTCAAAAAAGCGAAGCAGAGCAAAAGGAATTAATTGCGAGTGCTTTGAAAGACAGAAACAAACAGTCAACATCAATAAATAAATTTGTTGGCAAAAATTGTCATACAAGTGCGGCAAGTTACACGGCTGCAAATGTCATTGCTCGGCATAGTAAACCCTTTCAAGAAGGCGAGTTTTTAAAGGAAGCCTGGTTAGCATGCGCGCCTTCTCTTTTTGCTGATTTCGAGAATAAAAATAAGATAATTCAGCGCATCAAAGATACTCCTTTTTGATGATTTGATTAATTGCGATAAAATCGTTACCAACAACTACAAAGGGCGCAGATATTTGTACGGCAGTTAAAAATTCGATAGTTGAAAAAGAAATTGATATAAAAAAGTTGTTTCTGTAACAACTGATGGTGCTCCGAGTATGGTGGGTAAAAAAATTGGTTTCATAAGTTTATTTCAAACTGAAGTAGGACATTCGATTCTTGAATTCCACTGCATCATTCACCAACAAGCCTTATGCGCTAAGAGCGGTTTAACATCTCTTGATAATGTTATGGCAGTAGTTACGAAAATAGTCAACCTCATCTCTGCTCAGGCTTTAAACAAGCGAAAGTTCGACGCTTTGTTGGATGAAGTCAACTCCGTGTATAATGGCTTACTCATGTATAATAATGTTCGGTGGCTGAGTCGTGGGTCTGTACTTGAAAGATTTGTTGAATGCTTGGAAGAAATCAGACTGTTTCTGCAAAATGAGGGAAAAATTGAACAATACCCACAGCTTTTGGACGTCATGTGGCTTTCAAAATTGATGTTTTTTACAGACATATGCCAACACTTAAATACGTTAAATGTGAAGCTTCAAGGCACAAACAAAACAATAATCGTCATGATCGATCTCATTCGCGCCTTTGAGGCTAAACTGCAAGTTTTCAGAAACGATATTATCGCAAAAAAACTACAAGTATTTTCCATACTTGAAAAAATATATCAATGAATCTGATATACATGAGACAACAAATGCAGAAAATATTACTGAGGAATTTATCTCTGTGATTGATTCTTCAATTAAGGAATTTTTAACAAGATTTTCTCAGTTCAAAGAATTATCAGAAACGGTCAAGTTTATTATGTACCCAGATGTAACGACCTTTCATACACTGAACTTCTCCCAGTTCGATTGGTTGGAAATTGAAGATTTTGAAATGCAGCTGATTGATTTCCAATCTAGTTCAATTTGGATACAAAAATTCATAGACATGAGAAAAGAATTAGAGTTAATTGAAACAGAAAGATTGACCAGTAATATAAGTAAAGATGCCAATAATAAAATTTTAGAAACCTGGAATGCGTTGCCAGAAACATTTAATTGTTTAAAGAAGCTGGCTCACGCTATTCTAACTGTATTTTCATCAACATATGCCTGCGAGTCATTGTTTTCAGAGATGAATAACATCAAAGACTCTGTTAGAAATAGACTGACTGATGAATCAAGTTCAGCATGCATTCTGCTAAAAGTAACATCGTACAACCCCAATATAAGTCAATTATCGTCCAATCTTCAACAACAGAAGTCGCACTAATTTTTAATTGCTCTTGTAATTGTATTTTTGGTAAATATAGAGCTTTGAGTTGATATTGTTTTTTTACATTATTTTTCCACTGATCACAAAGTCAAGAATATTTGATGGCACGGCTGCGACGTCATTAAATATTATTCCAGAAAATTGGCACGTATACGCATAAAGGTTCGCCATCCCTGCTCTAACTCGTACAACATTGTTTTAATATCATTAACCTACTTATCTCGGCATGGAATTGTCGCTCACACATACATAATGTGCCTTTTTTGTGCCTGTTTCGGGTCATCTTAAGTGGCCCACATTATTGTCGAGCTTGTGGTGTATAAAAAATGTACGCAGAGTTGTGTTTTTTTTTAATTAATTATTGTAAAGTGTATTTATCTTATTGTAAATAAAATAAATATTTATTGAAGTAATTGTTTTTTTACAATTTTTTTTCACCAAACTGGAAAAAATCGCTTTTAGCATTTTTTCCATGAAATTTAGAAAATATAAAAAGGTGAATGTACACATTTACACATATTCTATTAGCTTACTGAACAATAATTCTAACCACATATTATTTTATAGAGTTTCCATACATAATTATTAAGATATTGCCATTTTAATGACACGCGCCACGTAGGCAATAAATCACTCGTTTAGGGTTGGGCAGTATGCGCCAAAGCGACCATTTGATCCGGGACAGTTGAGAGGATATATAACTTTATCCAAAATAGCTTTGAAAATTGTTATAACAATTCTAAATATACTACAAAGAATAGACTAAATCATGTAAGAAATAAGGAAGGATGGATAAATATTAAGATAAAATTTAATTGCGAAAAAAGAGGACTTTCGTGATGATGTGACGATTTTAATACAACCATTAAGGTGGCATTGAGATTGGGATATTTCTTGGTCCATTCAAAATAGTAAATCATTAGCTCTTAATAAAAAATTTACGCCGACTTCTAAGAATTAAGAAGAATAAATTTCACATTCTGAAGTGGGAGGTTCAATTTTTCTAAAGCACCGTCATACCGACGTAGCATACCGACCTCAGAATAAGAAAATATTTTGTTCTTTTTAGTTTTTTGAAGTCGTCGTTAAAAGTTTATTATTTATTTTATTAAGTAATTTAAAAAAAAAACATTTTATTAAGATGCTGTCAATACCCAATTGTTGTTTCAGAGCAAAAAAAAATTTAACTCTCAAAAAATATCGTAACTGCAACTAAAACAGTACTTGTGTATAACAAAGATGACGCTCTGCAAATCCGAAGCTATCCGATTACAGCCGATAGTCTCTTTAAAGCTCAATGCTAAATCGTAACGGCCTGTCACTGCAACAATATAGGACAGATTTGCAACATAAACTAAATAAAAAAAAAAACATAAATAAGGACAAGATTACAATCATCAACGATTCAACTAAACACTTATACTAAACCTAAGCGAGATCACAGAAACCTTTGTAACATAATGAGATTCAGTGTATGCTTATCAATTATTAGATCAAAATATGTTAAAAATACTGAAGCGAGTTAAACATTTAAAAATTATTACGGTCAAAAATAATTACCCCTTCTGTTATGCTGTCCCCGTATGATTTGAAGTATGCTGAAAAAAGAAGTGAAAGTTTTATACGACATTTTTTATAGAATAAGGGTGACAATCGAGCAGACAGTTCACCTAAAAGTTAGTTGATGCTGTGACACATAGACATATCTATCCTCGATTAAGAATCAAAATGCAGATGCGTTGTCACCCCTAAGATCTAAGATGGACTGCCTCGTTTCCAGTAAAAAAGGTCTCCGGTTCTCTCACTCACCATACGAAACACAGCAGCATTAAGCTGCTATTTTACGCTGGTATTCTGCATTAGATTAGATTAGAGCTCGGCCCTTCACCGGTCGAGCCGACCCATTCGTGCTAAAACCATAATATAGTTGCCGCATGGCTACCACGTAAAACATTTTTATGATTGAAGCTAAAGGTAAGCGTTTACTGAGTCGGCGTTTAAGAATTTGTCGAACGTTCTCAAGTAGGCAGAAATAATAAATAAATTTTACAATGTAACATAGATTATCAAGGGCAAAATTTTAAAAATGCTCTATCTATAATATATATACTTAACCGCTTTGTTTACGTATTACGAAACCTTACAAAAACGGCATCGCAATCAACAGCTCTCATGGCGCACGTTTATTGTATACTTAGCTACGGTATAATAATATGGGGAAATTCTGTAGACATCAATAAAGTTTTTATTGTGCAAAAAAAATGTCTACGTGCAATATGTAATATGGCCCCTCATGAGTCGTGTAAATCAATATTTAGAGATTTGAAAGTGCTAACACTTCCGTGCATATACATTCTTGAAACAGCAAAATTTGTTAAAAATAACCCCGAGCTGTTTATAACTGCTGGAGATATTATCAAATCCAAACCTTTGAGGCATCCAGATAAATAAGTCATTGATAAAATACCAAAAACGGTTAATTATCATAAGAATTGCTATGCAATATGTATAAAAGTATTTAACGCTATACCCGATAACATAAAACTACAACCAAGGAAGAGTTTCGGGAATGAGTTGAAAAAGTGGCTATTTAATAAATCTTATTATTCGGTTAGTGAGTTGTTGAAAAAACAATATCTTTAAATTTTGGGCTATTCTTAATAATAATATATAATGTGACATGAAAATATAAATATTAATAATATGATAGTGCAATTAATAGTAAATGTTTTTGTTTTATTATGTCGCTTTCTAGTTTATTTTTATGTTTTTTTTGTTTGTTAATTATTATCAATGGTTTTTTTTGTAATTTTAATCTATATTATAGTTAATAATACTTAATGTTTTTAAATTTATATCATTTTGTACACCAGAAATGGTTAATGTGTTGTACTATATTTTTTCTTTATAACAACTGTAAAACAAACACATTATGCAAAATAATCAAATAAATAAATAAATAAATAAATATCCTAATTTTAAACACTTAATTGAGGAAAGGACCCCTTAGTTCACTACACAGGGTGGAGCGTTAACCGAGGATGATATCATCAGCAGATCAAACATTTAAATTACCGATATCTTTTTTTTTTTTTGTAGGAAAAGGGTGACAAGCGAGCACACTGTCCACCTGACGGTAAGTGTTTGCTGTGGCCCATATCCTCGTTTGCGAATCGAGCATCTATCCTCGTTTGCGAATCAAAATGAAGATCCGTTGTCAGCCTTGAGGACTAAGATGGAATGCCTCTTTTCCATCTGGAGCAGATTTGTAGGATCTAGCGAACGTCTCTCCATAGAAATCAATACAAAAACAGAAACATTGCGCACATAGCGTACATTCCGATGCCGAACCATTTACTTATCGTATGATATTAATTCGGCAAAAGGTTATCCTTTGAAATACATCAAAGAATACCTTCTGCCCTAAAAAATTTATAGCAAACGACAGAAGTAGAAAGTTCAGAGCAATACGAGTTCAATTAGAAATAAATTGTTTATTGCATTTTTACAGACTGATTTGCCAAGTTCTCGAGGGTAAAGGAGTCTGTCCACTATACCGTACCACACCATGACCGTGCCAGTGACGTGTCAGGCAAAAATATATTCTATGTATAAAGAGTATCAAACACGATCTCTGCATGACCCAATTTTTTTTTAAATATTTTGGGTGTGTCTTGCCTTGAAATCCAAAAAAGCGCTGTGCAGAGCAGTGCTTTTTTAAACTGGCTAAGTTGATAAAAGCTTTTGCCACGTGATTATGCTTCGTACGTGTATGTTAATTTTTCAGTAATTACCTGTCCAGTCAGTCTCGCAGAATTGTTTTTTCTCTTCTGAAGTGATGTTTGAGTTGTTCTTGAGAAGGCGGTCAATTTCCGAAGAGTTTAGTTGCAAAACAGGTGGCTCCGGAATATTCGGTTGCCCTAGCATTGGGCTTATGTTCGCCGGAGACGCACAAGTATTTGGTGTGCTCGCAGACAGATTGTAAAATATGGCATCTCCAACCAGATCATTTGATGTAGGCACTACCGGGACTTGAGGGAGCTGGAAAAAATGTTTTAAAGAACAAGATACTTTATAATCTAAAAAAAGGCTCAATATGGCGTTTAATTGGTTCCACTTCAAAGAAAAATTTAAAAAATTATTTGAATAAGGTCTACGGATTTACATCTTTTAATGGACAATATACTACTTTATGAGACAGTGACGTCAACGATTACAGCCGGTAGTCCGTATATAAATATACCTTTATATATGTAAGTGGCTGCGATGTATATAAATATACCTTTATATATGTAAGTGGCAGATTGAGCTATGTAAACACTTGTAATATTAGTAAAAATAATGTCCTTCAGACCGAATTTCGGTCACGGCAGCTAGTCTCAACGGAGAATAGCCATTTGCGCAGTACAGTATTATAGTGCCCAAGTGTATGCACAAGCACAGGTTTTTTTGATAGAAGAGGAGGCAAACGAACATGCGGCTCACCTGATGTTAAGTGACTACCGCCGCCCATGATCAATCGCAACACCAGGGTAATTGCAGATGCGTTGCCGGCCCTTTAGAAAGGAGTAAGCTCTTTTCTTGAAGGTCCCCAGGTCGTATCGGTCCGGAAAAATCGCCGGTGGTAAACTATTCCACAGAGAAGTTGTACGCGGAAGAAAACTCCTTTTGAAACGTATTGTGGTGGACCGCCAAGCATCCAGATGGTGTGGATGGTATCGGGACGTTTGCCGCGTAGTGCGTTCACGAAATTTGGCGGCTGAGATTAATCCGAACAATTCCTCAGAGCACTCTCCATGGTATATGCGAAAAAAAATGCAGAGATGCAACAGGTGCACTCTTTATGCCCTCACTCTCATAGTAATCAATATAACATAAAGACTCAACTGGAGGAAGAACAGGCGCAGAACCAGCGTCACGGGGGTGAAATACCGCCAGCTTCCTGACCCCGGGCAGCTACTGAGAATTTGGCCAGGAAATTCATTTAATGATTTGGCCCAACCCGGGATTCGTACAGACGAGGCAGTAAACACTTATAACTTGTAAGTATTAAAACAAAATTAGCACATATTGAGGTGATACATACGCATAGAGATATATACATACAGATAGATAGGACATAATCTAAGAAACACGTTGTATTAATTAATTTACTAAAATACCTAAACTGATGAAAGGAAGCATCGTGTAGGGTGCAAATTAGCCAATGTCATTCATTTCTTGTGACCCGATCATTCAAATGGATAATTTCGAGGTTCAGTACTCTATGATCAGTGAGACCCGCTCGATAATGACGGTCGTCGGACATTACTATACTCTAGTCATAGGTCCTGTCACTCACTTGATCCGAAACGTTAAAAAAAGTAATTGCAATCATCAATACTTTGATGCGATCCAGATCAAATGAACGAATCATTCACAATTGGCACATGTCTAGTGCCAATAGTGTGATACTGCGGTCGTCAATCAGCCTGAAAAGTGTGACGATTAAGGCAAATCGGTCCTACAATGGTGAACGTCCAAATCCAACATTGGACTTTTACGGACTGATAAAGCTGAGGCACCGTATCGCCTCACTGATGTTCCGTACGGGGGGGAGCGCCAACACCATCCTGAGCGTGCTTGGCGAAAAGCCTGACTGCACCCTTCTGCGGCACTGGGTACAAACACAAATGCACGTGACCGGTGTCCCAGAGGGTGGCAGATACTTGAATTAAATTGTAAATTAATATTATAATAATAATAGTAGTTTTTATGTTTAAACAATTGAATTAAGTTAAATTGAATTAAATTAAATTTAATAATGTGCCACTTATACGTTACATGGACTGTCAGAAATAAATTTATTTTATGTTATTTATTAAGAAAATGGAAGGAAGTGAATAAAATTTAGAGAAAAAAAAATACAGATTAAATATTATCCTTTAATAACTATAAATTATATAAAAAATATTTCTTACTTGTATATTAAACGAGGGAATCTCTTTCATATCTTCATCTTCTAAACGTTCATCTTTTTGCTATAATATATTTAAAAAATAATGTATTTAATTTTAAATATTCAATATTATGTAAATTATAATGTTCACAGATATAATAACAGCAACTTACACTCATCATTTGCAACGGAACTGGTAGATCACTAAGACTATTAATTGAGCCACCTGAAAACATTAACAAAGATTTGTAGCACTGACATATAACAACGTTTACAAAATGTTCATCACCATCATCGTCGCAGTCTTATCAACATTTCAACCCTGAATATAGGCCTCCCCTATAGATTGCCTTGTAGGGGGATATTCTCCATAGTTGCCGCGCATGGCAGGCTGGTGGCATGGCAACCGCAGTATTTTAATCATTTTTATTTCTTATCAGAAAGATTCTGCTGCCCCTCTCCTGCTTTATTTCCCTCCATCACCTCTTACGACACCTACGGGATGATATAAGTTAGTGATTAGTGAATATTCTTACACCAGAAACAGACACAGAAACTTTTTTACTCAATAAAGATTATAAATAATACTTATTGAGTCACTTATTTTAATTTACCACTGGTTCGGAAAAAATCTGTCCTGGATCAACCCTTGTTGGGTTGACAAACGCTTTTACTGTAAAAGTAAAGTAAAGTAAAGTTACAGCCTATATACGTCACACTGCTGAGCACAGGCCTCCCCTCATTTCTGAAAGGGTTTCAGGGCAAGAAAGTGTCCGCCGCGCTGCCCCAATGCGTGTTGGTGGACTTCACATGTCTTCGAAATATTTTTTCCTTATTCCTCAGACATACAGGTTTTCTCGCGATGTTTTCCTTTACCGCCGAGCACGTGGTAAACCAGCACTTAAATCGCAATTAAGAATTTCATTGGTGCCGGCGGCGATCGAACCCGGGTTACTCGCGTTCTGTTATATTTACAGCGAGCGTTAACCATCTGAGCTACCACAGCTCTTTTACTGTAAACCGTCACACAAATTTAAACGATGTCGGTGGCAGCAGAGTTAGCGAGGTAAGCAAAAACGTTAAAAAAAGCAAGTAAAATATAAAACTTAGTATTTAATACCAACATACCAGAGTTGCTCCCGATCGACGAATAAGAAGAGTTGGCCTTCCGTTTCTTTCTCATCGCGGAGATCAAGTCTGCTTTGTACGTAAATTCTTTTGGCTCGCTAGTACGTCCGTCCGACGGGCGCACTAGTTCTATATACACTTTCACATCCGACGTTATATGCGGTTCAATGTAACGAGGTGTTCTGAAACCCAGATATGCGGTGATAATGATGACAATTACTGATGATGTAAGAGGGATCTCATCTGTATACATCTGATGAGCGCCCAGTTCAATTGACGTGGGGTGGAGGCGTAAAAGAATCCAAGAACTAAATGGTGTGAACAACGGGTGATACAAAAGGCATCTGTGAGAACTGCCTTTAATATTCATACGTGGTAGAGCCAAGGTGCAACTATATTATGGCATTTTGTAGCACGAATGGGTCGGCTCGACCGGGGAAGGACCACGTAGAATACCGGCGTAAAATAGTACCCTAATGCTACCGTGTTTCGTATGGTGGGAGTAGATAACCGTAAACCCTTTTTACTGAAAATGAGTCATTCCATCTTAGCCCTCAAGGATGGCAACGCTTCTGCATTTTAATTCTTAATCGAGGACACCTGTAAATGACTATGGGCCACAGCATCTACTTGCCGTCAGGTGAACTGTGCGCTCGTTTATCATTCTTATATCTATAAAAAAAATTGCATGGATTTCAATAGACGATAAAACCATCTCGTTTTCACCAGACGAAAAATAATTACACCTGCTAAGGTCAGTTGCTTCATTTCATATTATATATATTATATACATAGCTAAATAACGAAGATATGTTGCTAAAACTAGGAAAAATATAAATTATTCTCCATACCTGAAAACAATAGCATACTGATGATGGACATCGCTTTGTAAAAAGTGGGCATTTGCAGACCAACATTCGTCGCCATTTTCCGACAGTTCGTAAAAACGAATCATAATGTTTTCTGTGAATCAATAAGAATTTATGTTTGACAAAATTCTGCTCAAATAACAAATTTAGACTACGTACTTAAATTACAATTTAAATTTTATTTTCTACAAAAAGTTATCCACTCTGGCGTGGCGTTAAAAAATGAGAGTATGCGGTACAATCTTTTTGCGATTTAAATAAGTAAATACTGGCTAACAAAGCTGGAAGACTGGAAGCTGGAATCTACCTGCCTAATTAAATAAAAAGAATATCTTTTGTTTTTGAACAATAGAAGGAATTTGTTTACACGTTAGTTAGTGATAGCTTATTGGCGGAAATGGGAAAATTGAATAACACGCTGTTAGTTAATCAGGATTTACGTAGTGTAAGAATTTTCACTACTTCATATCATTCCGTGGGTGTTGAAAGAGGTGATAAAAGAAAATAAAACAGAAAATGCATCGTCCTGATAACAATTCAACACGAAAAAAACTGCGGTGGCCAACCCGCGTGCCGTGCGTGGCGACCATGGCAATAAACCTCCTTAAAGGCTTATGAATATACATTAATTCAGTGGACTTTTGATAGTCTTTAATGGTAACAGTAGCTATTATTTTTTAATGATCTCACGCGATAAGCTTCTCGTTAACCTACTTCTTAGAATTCAAATAGAACTATATAATTTGAGAACAACGAGATTAAAATTCTTAAACGATTTCAGTGGCACAGTTTGTGTATACGTTATAAAGACAACATTAAAGTGACGACAAATATGCTAACAGTCAACCTGTTGGTAAGTGGTCACTGCAGCTCATAGATCTGCAACTAACTTTAAAGATGGAAGGGTACAAATTGTCACCTTTAAAGACAGGTTCGACTATCTCACAGTCTACAATTTATTGGTATTACCACAGAATACTATAATTACATACATAATAGAACGGGGGAGTGGGCGGAGCCCGTGTAGCCAATAAAATGTCACTAAAACGTCAATCCACACATATAAATATCAACACGAGATGTGTTTTGACGTTACAATCGTTTCCAAATTTCGCATGCAAATTATTTAGAAAATGCCAAATTGCACGCTATTTACAAATAAATATGTATTAAAATCTGTCTGTCAACACAGCGAATCGGGTTTGTAGTAGTGATAATACGACGTAATTGCTTGTATGTGTGCTCCCGGCGATGCCTATCCTCATACAAAATAAGGTTGACAGCCATTATATTGTGTACTATAGTATTCTATTGGTATTACCATATCGTTTAATCACGTAAGTGGATGGTACGTTAATCAGGCGGACCCAAGGTGGGGCCAAGCCGAGCCGGGCACGAGCGGAGCATGAGCCGAGCACAAATTCGTGTAATATGGACCAACTTACAATTATTTTTTGCTGATAAATATACGATTTATTAAATTAATTAAAAATAATAATAACAAATTTTATGTTCATAAATCATTTGCTGCTCTTTAGTCTCGCAAAAACTCGAAAATGGCTGAACCGTGGCGGTGGTTATAGGTGGCGCTGCTGTCGAGATTCAGAAATCACCCGTGCGAACTTAGTGATGCTGTGAAGCGGTGTTGTTCATAAGATTAATTTACAAAATGTAGCTTTGTAGAGCAGTGCTTGAGAGATGCAGAGTTGGAGACCGCGCGTCCGACTGCTGACGCACTGGTCAAGTATTTTTATAGCCTACAAATAATTTGTCGGAATCTGGATGTTTGCCCTTAGCAATTTTATTTGTAAACTGCCTGCACGATACAAGAGAAAATCCTAGCGTAGAGGTTTAACAGTTTAAGAAAATCATATTTATTGATAAGTTTTACTTCAACCGCATTTAGAGCATACACGCACTTTATTTTATATATTATTATATCTATTAATTATAATTATGACATACTTTTATTTACTTTTTCGACGAGTATAAAAACATCATCGCCTCCTATAGGTCGGCCGTGGCATCTACTAATCTTGCAAATTTTCAAATCGTTTGTAGCAGCGCTTTCTGAAACAAGTAAGTTATTGGCTGCGTTTGGCAGAAAAAAGCGCTAGCAAGCGCTTGTAAGCAAAATGGCGATCGTAAGCGGTAAGCGCTGTCAAATCGTAAGTAGCTATTTTCCTCCAGGACACGATGTTAGTTTTAACCGAGGAACCTAACCTAATTTAAATATATGTTTGTAAAATATTCATATTAAAAACTTACTAATCATGAATTTTTAATAACATGTATATGTTTATTCATGTTATTATATTACTTAAAACTAATATTGCACAAAACAACTTATAAACTCTACTTCAAAACAAACAAATTAAATAAGCAAAATGGCGGATTGTGTCAGCGCTACTGAAGTAGCAATCGTGTCCTGGCCGAAAACTATTTCAGCGCTTGTAAGCGCTTGCTAGCGCTTTTTTCTGCCAAACGCACCCAATGTCAAACAAAAATCTTTAGTGTAACTATTTAAACGACATTTAAATAGTTAACGTTAAATACATTTATAATAGTTACATATACATTTTACAGTGTAGTGGCGGTGTAAGAATAACCACTAGGCCATGTTATCCCGTGGGTGTCGTAAAAGGCGACAGAGGGAAACAATTTAGGAGATGGGCAGCAGCGTCTTCCTAATAACGAATAAAAAAAACTGTGGTTGCCAACCCGCTTGCCATGTGTGGCAATTGTGGCAAATGTCCCCCCTATGAGGGCCTGTGTTCAGCAGTGGTATTTATTCACTGACTTATATATTACAGATTTGCAAATGGAAATATAAATACGTTGAGGAATTACACTTTCATCAGAAAGCGCTTCAAGCAATCTAAAGTGCTTAAGTTATGAGGGTTGTATTGGCATTACTACCATAAAAAATGACACTCTGTGTATGAAGACATATACTTAGTCAGGTCATAAGTTCTGTCAAAAACTTATAAAATTAATCATACACTTTCTGATAATTATATAGTAATTATATATAAAATGAAAGGTAATTTAATTTAGAACACAATTTTATTTACATTATTCAAAATGCACTCCATTATTTTGAATACATGCCCTTAATCGACGCTGATAATCATCAATCGCAGCACGCACCACATTCATATCTATTTCTGCCGCTGCTTTAGCCAAAGATGCTCGAAGAGATTCCAAATTCTGATGAGGTTTAGCACTGGTTTTCTCCCCAAATGTTGCCATATCTTATAATTCAGTGGGCTTAAATCTGGACTAGAAAAGGGCCAGTCTTCATGTCCGATAAAGTCAATTCCATGGGCGATTAACCAGTTTTGCGTGCTTCGTGCCCTATGAGCTGGTGCAGAATCCTGTTGGAATATCCAATGTCTGTTTTTGAACATTGTTAAAAAAAGAGGTTCCACTATGTTTGTTAGGACGGTATTTTGTTACACCTCGGCACTGATTTTTACACCTTTTTCACAGAAAAACACCTCAGTTAAGCCTGAATATGAGACTCCAAGCCAAACCATGAGTGACTAAGGATAGTGTGCCTGCTCGTTGAACCCTCGGAATACGCGTACTGGCTTCTTCACTGCTGTGGCGATACACCTTATCATTTTATTTATTATAACTTTCTTTGATGTTAAAAAAATTTCATCCGAAAAAAAAAATCGCGCTGTTTTCTCCCGCGTGCCATCGTAACAAAGCGTATTATCCATATCTATGCAGCCTAATTTTTTTCAAGCGCTTGTTCAAAAAATGTGCGGTCTTCTTACGATAAGCTCGTAGTCCTAGGTCTTCATTGATCACTCTTTTGACCGTGGTTCTGCTTAGGCCCATCTGAAGAGCTAAGATTTTTTGTTTACGAACAGGATTTCGTTGGATTCGCGCCTTCACTGCTTTGTTGATCGAGGGTGTCTTAACTCTACGAGGCCGTCCGGTCCTCTTACGATCTTCGAACCTTGAATCTTTAGTGAATCATTTGATAGTGCGATAAACAAATCGTAGGGTTATTTTCAATTTTTGTAGAATATTGACAATCTCTATTGGCGCGTAACCACAGCATTGCAACGCGATAATCGCTACTCTATCTTCTTTCTTCGACCACTACATATTTTATTTTCAGCAAGCATTACATTTACAGCAAACATTATATTTTTAAAATCGGTGAAGTTCATGTAGCCAGTATTCAAAAATTTGAAATAATAAAGTTTTGACAGGACTTACGACCCGACTAAGTATATACAGCACCAAACTCTTCAAAATCCGTCAAGACGTTTAGATTATAGAAAGTCACTAAGGTACAGAGTACAGACTAATGTACATACATAAATTCTAAAATTGTCTTCCGTTTGACACACACGCGGATAAAATACGTAAGATAAATTAACATATTATAAATTATTAAAAAAAAATACTTTTAAGTGATAATTATTAATAACTAGAGTAGACTTGAACTTGCACCATCGCACAGGAAAATCAAAACAAATATACGCGTATCACTTAGACAGTTATGCGAAATAATTTTTTTTTCAAAGAACTCAACCTACATACCAACCTCTATAACATTTCATAAGTCTAAAACATTTTTTGAAATAATTTTTCACCGAGTTCAAAAAGGAGGTTTTACAATTTGACTGTATATTCCTTTTTTTGTATGTCGAAACGAAATAAACATACGAAAACTATCTATCACATAACATACGCGATGTCCTCGTCAATTGGTACTGACTTTGATGATTGTTTTATATACAAGATACTTCAGGAGTGGTCCGATATGAATTTGAGGAAAAAATTCCACCCCTAAGAGTGGTAAAACAAAAGATGGAGTTTTTAATGTATCCGTTGAGCCGAAATCTATATAAATAAATAATATAAAATGTCTATATAACTTTTACTAAATGCGTATGAAAATATATAGGTGGTACGGTACTTTTAACAAAAAAAATTAAAATTTTTGTCTGTTTGTTCCGGCTAATCTCAAAAACGTCTGGACCGATTTCGTCGAGTCTTTCACTGGCAGATAGCTGATGTTATAAGGAGTAACTTAAGCTACATTTATTTTAGAAAAAGATATTAGTGCCGCGACAAAAAATAAAAGGCGAAGTCGCAGGAAACAGCTAGTTGAGATAATAATCGCGGCTTGAATATACACTATGTAACATATCAACCGACTTAAAAATATGAAGTTATTTTTTTTTGAGTTCTTTGAAGTCAGCCTTTACTTTTTTATTAAAAGCTATTTTATTCCAGTCTGCCTCAAACACGTCTACTATGGCCCACTCGAATGCTGTGGTGCTAGTGCATATTATGCGACGGAAACGGACTTTCAGCTGATTTCGACAGTCCCTCGTTGTAAGCGCTGAGTGCGACGTGCTGAGTGAAGACGTAAGTGCGCGTTGTCATGGTGAAACAATAGACCGCGGAGGCTCGAATTTAGTCGCTTGTTTCTTACAGGAGTGAACACTTTTGGCAAGCATTTCGTAGTATTTGGAAGGACTTCAGCACGTCGCACTCAGAGCTCATGAGGGATGATGTTAGTTCGATTTCGTAAAGGAATTGATAATTCGTTAGGCCACAGAGTGATAGGAATAGATTGTTAAAAACCTATTTTCACCATATCAAATTTCTTACACACAGAAAATCTTCTTAATTTTGTAATAATTACTTAAAAAGATAAACGATAAAGAGAACTAACAAAAATACTATGCGTAAGCAATCAATAGATCTAATAAATTATTATAAAATACTCACTCATGTTATGAATGGGTTCTGAAAACACTGGAAGGCAGATTTCCTTGTCTGTCAAAATATCGTGAGCGCTGAACTTCAGGCGAACAATATTTAGATTGATGTTCTTGGCTAGATTTTCACAATGCGCTCGTAGCTACAATAAAAAAAAAATAAAAAAAATAAACGTACCACACTCTCCACAGAAAAACATTGCACGTTTTTCGGACCACAGTTAAGACAACGTAACACTTCTTAAGTAGTGTTATGTGAGTACGAACACGTGCACAATGACCGTATTTACTAGCCTACGACACAAAACTGACTCTCAGCAAGCGATTACTATAACCCATAACACTTTGACTGAACAACATAATTTATGATTGCGAAGTGCCGATACGCGGCGCGAGTAGGTATTTTCAAAAATGCTATCTGTTTCCTACCACTCACTCTGCCTCCCTTAGGGGTGTCAGAGAGAGTTGGAAGTCTTGAAAGCAAAATGCCTATAATATTACCTTTTTGAAATATTGTTTCGGGCGATAACGTTTTCAGTCCCCTAAAACTATACGAAATTAGACAATTTTTCTCATTCAATTCAGTACACCTTCATCTTTTCTGTTTTAGTAATTAAGTTTAGTTTAATTTAAAAAATATATAAAGACCAGGAAGTTTTAAAGTCAAAAATATAGTTATTTACCTAGTTATATAATACTAATACACCTAGCTATATATATATATATATATATATATATATATATATATATATATAAAATATTAGTTTTTCATTATATCTACGTTTCTAAAAATTACGAAAATTAGTTCAAATGTTTACATAGGGGAAAACGTTATCGCTTTTTGTATGAAAATTTACAACTTCACAATCCTCTTCTCTCCATGTAATATGCACCAATATTACACGATGTATTATTTCGTGTCACAGTTATGTTTTATTCTACCTACATTATACAAAGTGAATACGTGTTACTCTAATCGATTAACACATTAACACACACCGATTAGAAATAAATGTGTAATTTTTTTTTCTTCTGGATTTCTTAAAAGTTCTATATTTTTGCACCTATTTTGGGAAAAATACTATATTTGTTCAAAAACAAGGTGTTAACCCTATTCCGGAGTTACACAATCCTATCCTACTGCTGACTTGTGGATGTTGTGGCTGTTATCAAACTTACAAGGTCAAACATGCATACAAAATTGTACATAATCATTATTTAACAAAAGCGATTAGTAAGTACCCTGCTGACTGAAGTGTTCAGCTATGATAAGTTTCATAAACAAATAAAATACAGGAAGTATGTAGTGTTCTGTGCCGCACGAAGTAAGCTTACGACCCTTGATTATATACAAGTACATAATCAAAGCTTACGACATTCGGTGGACAAAACATTGCTTTATTAGCAAGGTGGTTGCTTATTATCGGGAAATAAAAGATTCCAAATAAAAATCTAGCCGATTAAGTATCTATTTCAACAACATGCCTTTCATAGTATCTAAAAATATTATATGGTTATTGCTTAAAAACAAAACGAGAAATAGAACATGAAATATTTTATTTTATTTTATTAAAACTCCATTTGATTGAGATTTTATTTAATGTGTGCGCATATTTTTTTCCGAGCATATTATACTATTTCAGGAAGTATCAATTTTCGAGCATCAAAATCGTGTCTTAAATACGCTAATCTTGTCCAATCTGGCCTTATGTAAAATATAATGTCATAAAAGGCTCTCGCGTGTATTGTATTTCTTTAAACTTTTTTATTTAATTAAGCTATTTGTGACAATAAAAACCGATCTGGGAGTGTCAAGAGCATGTAAAATGACGGTAGAATATTGTCGCCAGCGAAGCGGCATGACGCTTCGCTCTTCATTCATCAAATTTGTCGAACATGGCGTTGTCAAGATAATAATACCTATGGTTTTTATAACAACAACTTTTTCATATCATCGTTGCCACAAAGTAAGGTCATAAGCATGAGCCGTCAGGTTGTCTCTCCATCAAGTGAGTGTCAGCTTGCCAGTACGAGGCTGGCTCCCGAAAACATTTCTTCCCAATCGGTTGTAAGCTGTTCAAGTTATATTGTGGCCGCCCCATTGCCACTACAGCCTATTGATCCGGTGAACTAATAAGTCACTCTTGTTCTTCTGCACAGATAACCGAGGACCCTTTTCACTGGAAACGAAGTATTCAATCTTAGTCCTCAGGGGTGACAACTCACCAGCATTTTGATTCTTACTAGATGGACTATGTGCTTATTTGTCACTCTGATTTATTAAAAAAATATATTTTTAATTGTTAAACACATTTCTTTATATCTTAAAAAATAACAAAAATCCAGAATTTTAAACTCTAAAAGTTAGTGCAATAAATTACCGCTCATGTATTCGTGAAGTCAAAAATATGTAATGTGTCTACTATAGTACGTATTGTGGGACATTGGCCTTACCGTCCGTTCGTCAAATGAGGACTTTTGTTTACTAGCGTATTTCTTAAACAACAGTTCAGGAACATCCTTCTTTGCAGTGTGAATGATACCCATGCCGGGAAATCTAAAAAGAGGGAAAAACATGATATATTTTTAAAATTTAACTTTATCAAGAAAAAGTGTTTACGTTATATCTCTATAGAAATACACTGTTTGATATTAAAATAAAACTTTTTTATAATAACAAAAATTAAGTAATTTAATCCTAATGTAATTATAACAGAAATTTGATGAAAAGAAAAAGATTGTTTAACCAAACATAAACAACACTTTATTAATAGAAGGTTTTTGTTTAATACAATATAACTCCTCCCGTTACTCGAATACATGAGGAGATAATCCTGAACATGCTGAGGATCAAGCATTTCTGCGGTAACCTTTTTCGTTCTTGAATAGCGGCTTCCCTGATCTCTGGCACTGTATGGGGAGGTGGCTGATGGTTGCAAGCAGCTCGCTTAAGAGCATCCCATGCGTGCTCTATTGGATTTAATTCAGGCGAGCTGGCGGGCCAATCTAGCCCTGTGATGTCATATTCTCGGAGTCATATTCTCGATGTGCGGGCGCATTATTTTTAACTTCCCGCTAAGAAAATTGAAATTTTTCAAAAATGGGGAAGTTATTGGTTTCACCCCGATTTTCGAAAATCGAGTTTTCATCAGATCTCAACGTTTCCAGTTCCAGGTCATCAGATCCTAGGAAGCTATTCTGAACCGTTTTTTTATTTTCCAAACGGCATTCGACATCATTTTTTGAGGTTAGGAGCTGATTAGTTTTTGAAATCGATTACATACTAAGTGTGCGTAGTACTAAGGTTCTTTTTAGCGGTTAACGCGCAAACTTGAGTCTTTGGGGATTGAATCGGACTAGATTTAGTCGCTGTCTTTGTTGAAGTTTGTCCCGGTACTCCGCGACGATTTCTCGAGAAATATTAGCACGGCCGGTGTATGAGGCATCACCAGTGCTGTCGTCTGATTAGCAATGAATGTTATCAGTTTGCAACATATCATTGATATGCAGAAGAAACAGCGTTGGTGATAACACGCAGCCTTGTGGAACACCAGCGTTGACCGTAATTGAATTTCTTTTTATATGGAAAAACAAATGAATACGTTTTATTGTTTTATATTCTAATTCCAAACTTTTAAATAAAGAATCTAAAAAGAAGAAGAAATTATAATATAGTCTAGCGTAACAAAGATTTCGATCTTTCAAACCGATAGCAATTTTTTTGATGTGTCTACAAATACTTTATTGTATTATGTGAGTTCTTCACTGTTTAAGTAGATAATATATAAAATCGGTGTGGCAATTTTTTCTTATAAATAAAATAATTTAAGAAATGGCATATTACGGTAAGTAAGCCATTTATTTTACGACTGATAATCTGGACTGTTTACACATACAGTTTCTAACTTGAAATCATCAGTTATCCTATTTTTTTGTAGTGTGAACTCGAGAGTATAATTTTGTTTTTTAATTTAAATACATACCCTACTTTGTAGCTACCATGTTCTGGAACCTTAGCGCTCACGTCAATATCTTGGTCTTCTTCCAGCAACTTATGAGGATGTTCATCGGGATTGTTATGTTGTACTAAGCGACAACGTATTCGCGCTTGTCCCGCGTAATTAACTAGCTATTAAAACGACATTAAAAAATAATTAACTTTTATGTCAATTGTAATAAAATTTATAGTGATTTTGGCAAACTTGACATTCTTAAGAAAGTATCAACTACCTACTTATTACGTAATAACTTTTACGTAAAAGTTTTGCTTACAGCTTACAGTATCTGTATATATGTATAATCTTTATATGTATTATGATCACTTTATCATATAAAAGCAATAATAACATAACGTCTTTGATTTGAAAAAAATCCTAAATATTGCATCTAAGCATAGACTCATTATACTACTGCGTATGGACCGGGTTATTGAACAAACAAAATCGCACCAACTCCTTGGTGCGAAAATGTTTATGGAGCACCAAAGCGAGAGCACAAATGTGTGCCGTGCGTCTGTGCAGTATTTCCACTTTTAGATATTTTGCACTATTTTAGGATAAATCTACTAATATAGGTAGGGCTTTAGGCGTTTCTTCAAGTTGAAAGGGTTTTGGATAATTTGGGGTAAAATCAAACTTCAGGTAACCCTGTTTTTTATACCCACCCAATGTAATTTTTTTTCAAGATTTATCGAAGGGTATAGGGTCAAAAGAGCTAGGAAAATGTGGAATTAAAAAGTTTTTCATTCTGTATATCGGAATAATGGTATGTATAATATTTTACTTAGTTACATATTCGTTATTCATTTATGAGACTAGGTGTTATTATAATGTGAAAATGAGAATGTTTTTTTCATCACAAAACTCAAGATTTTTAATTGTGAAATGATATTCAAATCGTTCGTTAATCATCGTTAATAAGGCTGTTTTGATTATTTTACGATAATTTAGGGATTATTTCTACAGGTACAATGGTAAAACCAAAATCATAAGTGGAATCACTTGTTCTGTGGTAGTTCACGAGTATTTAAGAGATGACGCTGATTTATTCTATGCTTAAACCTAAATCTGCGTCTGAGTAATACAGTCCATATTGTTTAAACAGAGCATTGTAGGGGTGTAAAATAAATGAGTTATTAAAAACGGGTTAATAATATAAAAGACAGGCTATATTATATATTTAAGATCATATTTTACTCACCTCAACTGTTGGATGTGATTTGGTCTTATTAGAATACGATATGCCTTGCAAACATCCATGCGTTCCAATCATTTCACTTCGATACCGAAATCTAAAATGATTTTGTGGTTGCTCAACAATACGTAGATATGGTTTATTGCCTGTAAAGAAATTATACATAATTGAATATACGAATAAAGGTATAAAATTTAATTATAACGAAACTACATAAATTTATATTTGATATTGAAACATTTTTACCATTTTATTTAGTTATAAGTACCAATATATGTTATGGAGCAATGGGCCAACCAAGGTATATGATTACTTAGGGCGTTATCTATAATGCACGGGGAATATCAATAATGACAAATCAAATTAGAATATGTAATTAATACCATAGATATAATATAGTATAATGTCGCCTCTACACGTTGGCCAACACAGTGGCGAATGGAGTGGCGAATATATTGGCCGAGAGTTGGTGACGGCGTCCACACGTTGGAAGGTCGTTCAGTTTACTTCGGTTCGGGCCAATGCGCGGACGAATTTATAAGCACCGTGGCGCAGTGGCTCAGCAATGAGTGGCTGCGCCGAGCGCCGCGGGTTTGATCCCGCACGGAACAAGTATTTGTACGTCCTACAAATAATTGTTTCGGGTCTGGATGTGTGTCCTTGTGCAATTTATGTTTGTAAACTGCCTGTGCGATGCGGGAGAAAATCCTAGTGTGGGGTTAACGTTTTTATAAAAGAATTATAAAATAATAGTGGTTATTAATGGGGCTGTAAATAGATATACGATATACAATTAGCTTTATTTATTTTTTACATGCATCATAAACTGGAATAAATACCATTAATAAGAACTTAACTTATTTTAAAGTTAAAGGAGTTATAATCGATTAGTCTATGTTTTAAAATTGGGTTTTGATTTTAAAGTTTAGCAAAATATGTACCTACTTGCATTTCTATCAGACATTTGATGTATATAAAAAACAACATATAATTTATTTGGTAATTTAATTATTTTTTGAGAAAGACAAAAACAATAGCAATAAATATAATTAACATTGACTTAATAATAGGTACTAATTATAACTTAGAACATAAATGAAAAACTCATGACGAGCAAAGTGGCTCAGGACCATGCTTTGCGGCAGTCTGTGGAGGAGGATGTTCAGTAGTGGACTTGTGAACAGCTGTAATGATGATGATGATTCGAAAACTTGCATGATTGAATTATAAGAAGTCGACGTTTTTTTATAGGATAGGGTGACAAACGAGCACACAGTTCACCTGATGGCAAGTGGTTACTGTGGACCACAGATATCTACATCTATCCTCGATTACGAATCAAAATGCATATGCGTTCTCACCCGTGAGGACAAAGATGAAATGCCTCGTTTCCTTTAAAAAGGGTCTCTGGTTCTCTACACTCACCATACGAAACACAGCATCATTAAGCTACTATTTTACGCTGATATTCTGTGAGAGCGTGGTCCTTCCCCGGTTGAGCCAACCCATTCGTGCTACAACTATACTTCTAATATAACTGCATGGTTCTACCACGTATAAACGACGTGTTTAATTTTTTTTTCATTTTAAAATTGTTCTCGTAATAATCTGATTGTAAATAAATGTTCGTTATTTTTTTTGATAAATAGTTAATTGATTAAAACAAATGTTTTAAAATAATTAAATCGCACTAATTAAAGTAGTAGGAATGTTTAAAGTTGAAATTGGCACTAAAAGGCTGGTAATTGGGGCATCCATCCTACAAAGCTTGAATATGAAATTTAAATCAGATGCGTGTAATCACTCTGGGAGCTTGTAGCAAACTAAACGCGCGGCCAACGTGTGAACGCGGCGACCAAACTCTGCCAACAATCCTTTGATCTTTTGTAAAAAACCGACACCACACGGATCTCGCGCCAACTTGTGGGCCATCGTCCCAATACATACCAATGAAGCCCAAACACCCCGTCTACACGTTGGCCAATGCTATTGGCCACTACATTCGCCACTGTGTTGGCCAACGTGTAGAGGCGACATAATGTGCCCAGGTGGCTGACAAATAGTGTTGCACCATGCATTTACCTGCCTCAACTTCAATTATCGATACCGATCGCGGTATATTCGTGTCTTCTGAAATGACGCGGATGATTTAAGTGAATTTGACGAAAAATTTGACGGCTCCGTGCCGCAGTGGCTTAGCAATGAGTTACAGCGCTGGGGGTCGCGGGTTCGAATCCCGCACGGAACAAGTATTTGTACGGCCTACAAGTAATTGTTCCGTATCTGGATGTTTTTCCTTGTGAAATTTTTGTTTGTAAACTGCCCCCACGATACAAGAGAAATTCCTAGTGTGGAGGTAACGTTTTAAAAAAAATATATTTACCCAACTACGGCGAATCCAAAAGGATAGTTACAATTTTAGAAGGCTATGTATGCAAGTATGTTCATCTGTTTCCTCAGATCTTCAAACTACTCATCGTATTTTGACAAATTAGATATTTTTAAAAGCAATGTACCTTTAAGCTGCATGAAATCATGTAAAAACTATCCTGGCGGCTTATTGCGGAATTGTAATAAAACACTGAAATACATACAATATTTAAAAAAAACTATGATAAAATAAAACTAAAAACTTAAATATCATATCGTGCCAAGAACGCTGTCGCTGGCTGCGTTTCCTTAATTAAGCAAATATTAAAATATCGTGTCAGGGTATCTAATAAAAGGTGTAGTTCAGAATATTCTCGACATTCCGAAGATACGATAATAAGTTAAAGTTTTTTTTTATATAAAACTGAAGAATCCAACGAGCTTACAGTTCACCTGATCATGGTCAGTGGCTACTGCATCCCGTGGAAACTTGCGGCTAATTTCAAACAAAGGAGGGCATTGTCACCTCTACTGACTGAGATGGAATGTCTTACAGCCTTTATTTATACCGCTACTATGTAGGACGGTGATACCTACCCAGACGATTTCACATACAGGGTTAGTGGGAACTCGACAACTTTCTAGCAGAGCGTGATAGGGGAGTAAAAATGCTACAAATTTAACCCCCCATATGTATGACCGAAAATGAACAGGTCTTGAGATATACGGATTTTAAAGGTTTTTCAATAATCACCCAGAATTTCGTATTAAATTCTAAATAAAAATAAAATATTTTTTTTGTATGAATTGCTTTTATGTACTTTTTTGTATATTCGGAGGTTTTGCCTATCTAATTATATTTTGTTATATTTTACAAATACTTTCTCAAGGATAGCTTCTATTCCACTTACGCAAAACACCATAAGTATTATTTTTCAGACCGTAAAAATAGTCCACCCAGTATAACACTCCTTTTCATAAAAAAATATTTCTGAAATGTACAATTGCATAATGTAATCATTAGAGGGTGCGCGGGAAACGAATACCTTCGCTTTTTTTGTTCAGTTAGCTAGTTATTAATTAGCCGGTACATTCTCCCATCACATCCGTTTCCCTTCAGCACGGGCCTGAAAGTGGGGAGGGGGGCTTGGATAGGTGGCGTCATTTTTGCGTCCAATGGGAGGCGCGCTCTGCGTAGATGGAAGTGGAGACGACCGTGGAAGTTAAAGGAAGTGCGCCGCCGCCGCTTGTCCAGTTGCCGTGTCACTAGCCACGAGGCCTGAGTAGGAAGCAATCAAAGAACCCAACCCGGTAAGTGAAACCGTACTGGTGGTCACTAATCAGCTGGTGATCTTCAAGGTACTGCATGAGTTGGCTTTTAATAAAGGATTCCATTATTTTAGGGAATAAGGAGGTGATGGCGATAGGTCTATTGTTCCGGCCGGATCAGAGCGGTTACCTTTTTTAAGGATCGGGTGCAGGAAGGCCGTCTTCCATGATTTCGGGACTACGCCTAGGGTGTAGGAGTACCAGAAAAGACGCGTTAAAACCGGTGCCAACTCCGCAGCACACGTCTTCAGCACAATAGGAGGGACGCCATCCGGCCCAATCACTGAGCGTTGGGTAAACAGGACATCCTGCATGGAGCACTCACTCCGCGGGATGGTCTTCGGTGTATTCCCCCCGTCATCAAGAGTCGAGTTGGACACCAAGAGAGAGCCCAGCAGAACGACATTGTCCTTTGCGGCATGGGCCAGTGTATCGTCCTCCCTGTAGAGAGATGGGAAAGATGGCTGACAGAAGTTCCCTTGAACAGCCTTGGCGAGAGACCAGAATGCACGTGTTTCCGAAGGAAGACGAACTAGCTTCTTGCCAATTCTCTGACTTTGCCTTGACAATGACACTTTTGAAGGACTTGGAGGCAGAATTGAACTTCTTTTCAAGAGCGCTGGTATTTGCATCCCGAGAAGTTGATGCGCGAGCCCAGGTTTGGTAGCACTCTTGCTAATAAGCGTAGCAAAACCGCGAGAAGTAAACCCGCCTCCAAGGGTGGGATGCAAAAAAAGATCGCATCCTGTCCCAATCTGCTGACCTATAATGCCAAACACGGCGGCAACCTGCAGTACGCAACCGCGATGGGAGCGTGAGTGGCACCGTACTCCGGATCAAACAATGGTCCGAGGAGCCATCGACAGAGACCTGATATCCGTCCGGATGGGAAGTCAACAGGGAAGGTACATGGTCTTCCACATCTGGGATCCGCGTAGGCGAGATAAACAGTTGTGACAGACCATATACCAAAGCAAAGTCGTAAGCAGATCTACCCGCATGATCGGTTAAACGCATGATGGCGTTAAGATTTGAATGAAATCCCTTGACGTTGCAGAAATTCACGGTTAGCGTGGCAGGGGACGATTTTGACTTATCGCTCCGTTTGCCCCGAGCTCGTGGTTGCTCAGCGAGGGATTCTCCACGGGTGCTGGTACCCTCCTGGGGTGTCTTACATTTATTGCCGCTACTATGTTGTGGGGTGGGGGGGGGGTAATCGGCTTCCGGCCACCTGCACTCACCAGACTAAGTGCAGAAGCAAAGCCTCCACTTCACACTGGTCTTCTGTGAGGTTCTGGTACCACCCCGGTTTGAGCCGGCCCATATGTGCAACAGCAAAGGCAGCCGCGTGGCTCTACCACTGTTAAAAAAGTATGCCCATAAATGCAGCGACAGACATCACTCAATGCTACATTTTAAGGGTGGTGCCGCATCTGCGTTAAGCAAG